TTAATTTTTAAATCAGTAATCAGTATCGAGGGAGATAAAGGGTTCTGCTTCTCACTCTTCTGGCCATCTCAACCCTAAACTCTGGTGCTTTCTTATTACCTCATTCTAGCTCAAGTATACGACTTGTATGGTGTACTATCACAAGCCATTCTCTCGAAGTAGATAAACTCTTCTGTTTGCGGCTTTGATATGTAATTCACCATTGGTTCTGAGCTGACATTTTTCTTTTCTTACTGCATTCCTAATGTTATCTCTTTTGATCACTCCTGTAACCTTTCTCAAACATCTCATTTCTAAAACTGCTAATTCTTATGTATTATTGTAAGCGACTAGGTAACTGGGTTATAAAGATGAGAATATGTAAGTTCACACAAGACACAGCAGCACTTCACTTAAAAATCAGTGCCTTACAAAAGAAGTATACGTAAACATGAGAATATGTAAGTTCATACAAACATAGCATTTCACTTTTAAAAAGAATTTAACAGAACACAAGGATGCATAATTATACGAAATACATGCTTGTATACAACATTTCAATTTAAAATAAGTGCAAGAAAATATGAGTGTACGTATTTCTCAGAATAAAAAGTTCATAAAAAATGCATCAATTCAATTTTAAATGGAAAAAATATATGTATATATACTTGTGTATATAAATTACACTGGAGAATAATGGCAAAGAGTAAGTATATTGGAATGAATTATACATAAAATAACATCTGAACTTGTGAATAACTTGTGGTTTTAGAATGTAAAAAAAATGATTAACTGCTCTTGGTGTGCAGACTTTTAAAATGCTCAGCTAAAATGTAAGTTAACCTTCTTATCCATAGAAAGCAGATTTTCCTACTTTTCCAGGTTTTTAAAGACAGGTAATTTTTGAGCAGTGGCCAATATGCCCAGATAACAGATTTGGTGTAGACATAGTGGGTATGATTACATTTATCCAAGAAAAATTTGTTTGGGGGACATTCTTCGTCTATGTCATCCAAAGATATAAATGCACTGTGCTCGCTTATAACATGGCTGCAATATTTGCACCTTTCTGCAAGCACAGATACCCAGTTTAGCCTGCCGGGTTTTTGCATATATTACTATGGCGAACAAAAAAAATTGTTTTTTTGTCACTGTGACATCAATCCATCTTTTTACTGACATCTGGTCCGCGATGACGCAGTAGCTACCAGGCTTGCCTATTTCATTGGTAGTAACAGGTTTCAACCCCTGGGAATTTTATAAAAATCAACCAAAACTCAAAATTTCTTCTGCTTACTCTTCTCTTCCTTTAGTTTCTTAGTGTTGAGTTTCAGAGAATTATAACAATGCATTTCATTTGAATGAAATTTTGAAAAAGTGTAATTTTTTTAAGGGTAGTAAAGTAAAGCACCATTTTCTCGCTAGTGGTGCACGGGTCTTACAGTGCCTGCACGCATGCAGTTCCCCCCCCACCCCCCCCAAGCAGCTACCTAATGAAGGTTTGACACCCTGTGATTAGACGCCTCAATCTGGATGGCAGACCAACAGATGACACAACCCCTTCAACCTCCAAATAAGTTGATGGGTACTGTGATCAACATCACAATGGACGCATTTACTTCCCAGGACATTACCTGGCACATATTTAAGCCTGGGTCAACCAGAGAAACCCTAAAATGAATGTTGATGAGAGAGGCCAAAGGGTGCTGGACTGGATTCTATCCAGGATAAAGAAGGGATTGCACACGTCGGAACCGAATGAAGACATAGACTGCGAGCTCAAGGTGACACAAAACTGCACAACAGGACAAATATGATGAACCTGAGAGCTAAGAAGGATAATAAAAAAATCTGTCAAAGACTTTTCTAGCCAGTTGGAAAGCATTTTCAAGTAAAAATTACAACAAAATATATTATGCTTTATATTCCATAAACATCAACTCTTATTATATGTGACCAGAGTTCTGATGTTATCAAAACTGTAAAATGCAATATTTATATAAGCAGTATAAATTGTAAAAGATCTGACTTCACAGAAGAATTATGAGGACACCACTGAGAGATACAAGTGTAAGGAAGATGTATTGCATTAGAAGACAACAAACCACAGACTACAGCAGTGGTTCCAAAATGGGGGATGGCAGAACAAATTTTATGTTGGTGATATTGTTTAACCAAAAAAAAAAAAAAACCCTAACCCCCTCAACTTACGACCAACTTCCGGTTTGACTAAAAGATCATCAAGTCGAACTAATTGTAAGTCAAATTTATATTCTTCAACACTATTTTCATTCAAATGGGTTATAAAAATTGTACATAAAACATAAAAATGCAATATATGCACAGATAATTATTGTACACAATGAGGAAAATACAAAATATAGACTCTACTGCATCAGTTCTGGGAATGTATTGGTCCTACCAATGTAGTTGTGTCTTTATTTACTTTTTGTTGACATTTTTTTTTATATTTGTGTGGATGGTCTAAGTCATAAGTCGAGGAGGTGTACAAATTTACCCTTGTTTTTAAATACGACTATTAAAAAAACTACTGGCATGGCAGACTTTCAAAAATAAGAGAACAGATAAACTACTTCGACTTTAAAGTCAAAAGTTGGGAGTGACAGTCTCTGCCATCTCTGCCACATAAAAACGTTGATACTCTATCAGAGATATTAACCCATTTGTCAAAAGAGCCAAAAATCAGCAGCAGGACGATTAACAATTTTTTTGATAGCCAAATTTCTTTTCAAGAACCATGATTTTCAGAGTCAAGACCGATTTCTGACCGACTGGCCAAGCCATACTTTGATCGCTAAACAGCCACATGTGGCTCGCCAGCCACGATTTGTCGACCACTGCTCTATCATACTGAGGCTGGTGTTCTCTCAGTCCTCTCCTCTCATAGCTTGTAGCATTTGACCTCTTGCAAAATGCCACGGTCCATCTTTCACTGTCTGCCTCCATGGTAGTCAGTCTGCACTTGATCTCACTTAAGCGTCTGTGTCAATGTTGGTATCTTTCAGGTTGTGTTTACATATGTCCTTACAGCGTAGCCTTGGCCTTTCTGCAGATTTCTTTCCGTTTCCAGTTGACCATACAGATATTTTGAAATGCAACTGTCTTCCATGCAAGAGACATTCACGAACCAGAGCTGTCATCTGTATCAATAATGCTTATGTTACAGGTGAGAGAAGGCTGTGGACAGGTGTGCTGACTAACACCACATGGCATAAACTTTAAGAAGAAGAAGAAGAAGACATGTCAAACACTCACTGCTGGTCCCGAAGGAGAGATCCAGACCTTTGAATAAATGTCTTATAGAAGAATTCTGGAGATCAGCTGAAAAAAATACTTCATCTTCTTCTTTTGCATTCCCCCTTTAACTCTTTGAGTCCCAAGGAACGCATCACACGTTCATAGGTTCCTACCTAGAAGCCCAATGAACGCATAATGCGCCGATTTTATTACTTTCTTTACTACCCCCTGGGCCTGTGATGCTAAACCCTCTGGGACTCAAGGAGTTAAAATGTGGTTGGCATGCTTTGTTGTACTCTCCAGCTAGTCTGTGTGACATGTATGCCTTTCAGCCCAAAACATTCCATTTCAGTAGGTCACCTTTTATGAATGCTTGTTAGGGAGCCGTGGGTCTATTTTGTTTTCTCCCTAAAATGTGGACCCAAACCCATATGGGAAATAAAGAATACAAAACTAGTCCCTATAAAAGAGGAAAAAAAAAAAAACTGCATTACAAACTAACAAGAACATACACCATTAAAATTGTTCTTCTAATGATAACAGGACATTACATCCAGCTATTATTAAATAAAGGACAAAACATTTTTGTTTATGTGATGAAAAGATGCATATTGCTGAACTTAATGTTGAGTTGAGTTAAGAATTGACATGACAGCACTCGGGGCATTCCCATATGGGCTTCATCTCCATCCTCAGCAGCCAGAGCAGAGTTCCAGTACTAATGGTGCCTGTGTCAGTCTGGTTATATGTCCGTCATGCCTTGCCTCTGAGCGTAGGGTGCTGGCCCAACCCTCTGGTCACACCCAGGTGTGGGACTTAATGACTGGAAAGGTCAGTGAGAGAAGAAGCAGATCAAGAGAAATAATACTGGATGGTTTAAAATGATGGTATTGCAAAATATCATCAATGTAATTGATCCAGAACACTACGTGTGAGCTCCAGCACCCCAAAAAGGACAAGGGGAAATTGACCCACTGCTCTCTAACAAGCATGTTCTAGAAGGTTATTAATATGGGATTTGATGAAATCAGATGTGCTGGGTTGAAAGGCACAATGCTGCAGGCTAGTTGTAAACCACACAAAAATGTGCCAACTTCCCTTCTAAGAGCACATGCAGAAAAAAAAAATAGAACTTCAGAACACTAAAAGTCCAGATTTGTGAAGAGGAAGAAGACATGAACACCTGTGCAATCTTGCTATGTTGAAAAAATGTAAATCTGTTATAAATCAAAAGATTTTGTATCATTATGCAGAAACAGGTTTATTTTACACCAATCCATACCATAATGCGATAAACTGTGTATCATTATACAGTAATAGATTCATCTTAAACTAGAACATACAGCACTGTGATAAACTTTTTTTTTCTATCATTATATAACAACAAATTCATTTTCTTACTTCTTCTTCTTCTTTTTAGTGGTCATCAGCTATGAACTGTGCTGGAAAGTCCTGCTGTTCCTCCACTTATGGACTGTGGCCTTGTTTCAGGAACTGAGTTTTATGTACACATCCATTTTACAGATCTAGCTCATTAGTGTGAAGACTGCTAGTTACTTTTCCTTACCTCCTAAGCAGATGCATTTCAATTTCAAAGAAGGATTCATATTAAACCAAAACATATAACTAAACAACAAAACCTTTTTTGTGTGTTTTGTAATGCGATAAAAGATTCATCTTAAACCAGACAATACTGCTATGTGGCAAACTTTGTTGTCATAATACAATAACAGATTCATCTTAACCTAATGTAAAATAACAGACTATTTTTTACGCAGCTCCATCTGTGAATATTCCTGAGAAGCTCTCATGAGCCTGTACCTCAGTCGCAGGTTCCGTGCCCTCACGTGGCTGTTATTGATCTCCTCCGTGTGACTAGCGGGAAACCAGCCTTTCTCCCCGTCACGGATTCTCTCCCCCTCATACCAACCTGCAGAAGACAGCAACTAAAGTCAGTAAGTAAATTAGGGCATTTTTGTGTGTGTGTGTATACGACATCCCCATGTATTAGTCGACAGAAATTAATATCTGAATCACGTTCCGAGTAAAAGACGACCCAAAATTCTAAACCACAATATTTTGGAGAAACATGGCCTTATACATAAAAAAATACGTAAGTAAAGGATACATGTTATGCCATTAGTGCAGTGGGTATATGGTACCAGACTCATATTTAAATAAAATCAAACAGCATTCAACTGTAAGATGATCAACATCACACCCACTGCCTTTACTTCCCAGGACATCTCCTAATGCCCACTGAGACTGGGTCAACAAGAGAGCCAAGGTTGATTATTAAAAAATCTGCCTTGATAAAGGCGTGGATCCAAGACCTTCAGGCTGACAGGGAAAACATCTGGACAGTGCACTAACTAGGCTGCCAGGTAGTCTTTGTCTTCTTCTTGTGTCCCACTGCTTATGCTATAAAGCATCGCAGAGAGGAGTAAGATATAACTTCCTCTCTTTTGCTAGTAACCTAGCTTTGTTAATGTCATATTCTATTGTGTCTCTTTTACTCCCTCCACCCATCTCTTGTCTGAGTCTGTGGCTTAGATGTTGCGAACGCGCTTCGTAATGCCGGGGTGCCGGGTTCGATCCCTATTTTGGACGATTTGTCTTGCGTTGGTTTCGACAGTGGTACCGAGAGCTGACCATTGAGACGCAATGGCAAACTACTCTGAACGTAAAATCTGCCCAGAAAAACCACAACGGCCAATAAATGCTGAGGTTGATTCTGCAATGTCCTGTAAAGGATACACAACTAAAAACACCCATCTCTTTCTTGGTTGGCCTCTTGCCTTGTAGCCTGCTATTCTTATGCAGTACGCTCTAGCTACTGGCTGATTTTGTTCCATTCTGGCCAGATGACTAAACCATTTGATTCCTGATATTCTGTGAAATCACTTACCACTCGTGTGCTAACCATTGCTCTTAGTTCTTCGATGGTGACTGTCTCTCACTGTTTTCTTGCAGCATTTATTATAATCTCATCTAACATGTTGTATTTTGCATTTATATTGTTCTAGGACTGTCCATGTCTGGCACTGGTAGCACAAAGTTGGTACGAATATTGCATTTATCAGCTGCTTCGTCTACTGAACGTAACATTTGCCTGGAAAGACCACAATAGCCAAAAAATGCTGGGGTTGGTTCTGCAACGTCCTGTAAAGGATCCACAACTAACTTTGTGTCTACCAAACAGTAAAGAGATGTAAAATAAAATCCATGAAATGACAAAAAGGTTGTCAAGGTCTTGAGTTCTTCTCTTCCACCTTGTACCTCATCGAAGTGTCGGGGAGGGATGTAATGTTCGTTGATGAGCTCTGTCAAGAGCACTATTAAGACTGATGTTCAACTCTGTAAGGCTGTTTGTTCTTAATGCCATCACTCCATATTTTCCAAGGTCTTCCACTCACTCTATACCCATTGTAACATTTTAGTATGGCTCGCTGTGGCAGATAGTACCAGGGCATTCTTGCTTGGTGTCCAAACCACTTCATTTGTTGTTCTTTGATGACCTGTAAGACTGGAATTATTCCTAGCATTCTTCTGATTTCATATTCTGTCTTTCAAATCCACCAACAGACAGATTTGTTATCACAGACCTTGGCTTCTCCTTTTTTTGCTGGGGCTATGGAGTTAATTCTTTGCATTCTGCATAGAGAGACTGAGCCTTAAGGGATCAATTCCAGTGCAATGAAGATGACTGTCATTTAAAGTAAAATCTAATATAAAAAGAGGTAAAATAACAGAAGGCAAAAAACTTCTTCTTCTGCCTTCTTTCCTTCCAATGGAGCATAGGTCCTCTACCAACTCACACCAAGTCGTCCTATCTTTCGCTATTGGAAGCAGCCCTCCTCATGTCCTCCACATCTTTTTAACTTCACTCTCTAGCTCTCTTCTCCGTGTATTGTTTTTAGTTTGTTTGTGGTCTTCCTTTATTTCTTTGCCCCTGTGGGTTCCACTACAAAGGCATTATAGTTATTTTGTTCTCAGGTTTTCTTAATTCATGTCCTTTTCAACATCAGCATCTTTTCCTCACCTCTTAACATTGTCTTTCCCATATGGATTTTCAGACCTAGCTGTTGTATTACTACTGCCTGTATTTAACACTTTTGTGGCATCATCATGCGTTTGTCAGGAGACAGGATATTGCATATAGTTGGAATGGAATAAAAAATTAACATGTTTCAGCAGCCTTGATATTAGCTTTCTAGAACCATCACTTATTTATTTGCAGAAAGATATTTGCAAATGAATAACCTATTTATATAAATAGTATCTGAGGTAATCTTGTTAATGTGCCCTATCAAAGAGACAGCCTTGTAGCACTCGCTTTCTGGAAGTCCACAGAAGGACAGCTGTCAATTTAATTAGTGTATTTTGGGTAGAGCAATCTGATGCAATCGAGACACAATTAGGCAATCCTACAGTGAGAACCTAGATAGTAAACAGGTTTCAGCATGTTAAAACCTTCCAGAAGAAGTTAGAGCGTAGAAAATACATTCCAGCATATCTGTATAAATAGTGGGTAAGAAATCACTTGAGCAATCTTCAGTCTACGAGACTTAGAAGAGGAGGGACTAGTAATATGGACTCTAAAGATAAAAATCTTCAGTCGTTGAGACTTAGAAGCAGAGGAACCAGTCACACAGAGCCTCAAAGACAGACACTTGAGAGGAAACATGAAACAAAACATTGAGCTACTGAGACAACAGACAAGATACATGGATCCATAGTCAACAGAGACGCATTAGATAGAAACATTACTAAGATGTTAGAGTCGATGATCAAACAGTTAGTACCAGACAGCACTAGAAGCTAGGTGGCAGTTACAGACATTAGAACTAGTTAACAAAGTAACTAGAGATAAAGAACACAATGCGACCTCAAGAGTATGTAACCACAGAGCAAACAAGCACCATTCAGATATCACTGATGCTATTGGTGACATTACTGAGGTATCACAATCAAGACAGTACAGAAAAGAAGAATTGTTTCAAGACATTTTATTATACAAGCATCAGTGACTTGAGAAGCATGTAGCAATCATGAGAGGCCATTACCATCACCACTATCGACACGACCATCTTTCTCCTCGTCTATATTCTTCGGTTGACTCCTCCTGTAGCAAACAAAAGATGAACCTGGGTGTGACATCAACATACACAAAGAAGACAGCTGTACTACAGGGTCTTTAAGCCTGCGCATTTAAGACTGCATGGTTAGTTCTGCCGCCCCGGACTATGGGGATTAGGATTTTATTTCTGCTCCCAACCCCAACATTCCCCCCCCCCCCCCCTCCAATTCCTAACATGGGTCTTCCACATCAGAGCCATGCGTTCTTAACTGTTTGACCAACTGCTCCTTGAACACAAAATATAAACAGGTTGATATCAAAAAGTTAATAGAAGGATAACAGAGCATACAAATTAACTGACCGTCAGCCATCTTGCGAGTGACATTGACGACATCAGATTCTTCCAGGTTGAGTTCATCAGGTTGCTTAGCAATGTACTTCCGCACACAGTGGAACTGTGGGCAGTCTGTCGGTAGAAACAGAGACAAATGTACAGGTGTACACTCATACATGTTCATCATCATCATCTGAGCGGCGTCCGTGGCTTAGGCGCTGCGAGTTCGACTCGTAACCCAACGTACCGCGATCGAAACCCACTGCTGGCTGCGTGGATATTTATCATGGTATGGGGCGCCGCAGGTCGACCCAGCCTAAAATGGGTACCAGGATGGCTGTCCTGGGAAGGTAAAGACAGCCGGCGTAATGCTGACGACATTACCCATCCAGTGCCGATTGGTCTGTAAAATTATGGGACGCTCTTCCCATATACCCGATGCGCCTAAGGCGTGAAAAGGGATCTTTACTTTTTTTTTTTTTACTTTTACTATCATCATCTCCCCATTAGGTTCCAGGGCTCCATTATTGGGTGGAGAAAGGAGAATAGACCCACTACCTTCCTTACAAGCATGAAGTTAGAGTGCATCTGCCTGAAAGGCAAGGAACCAACAGCCTGCATTTAAATAAGCCAGATCTGTAAAAGAGATGTGCAGGCAAAGACTCAAATTCTCGAACAAAACTAGATTCAGAAGTGAACAAAAAGCCAGGACATTCCGCCAGAGTTTACAGCCAGTGACCACAAAGAAGAAGACCATTATCATCAACATCAGGTCCCCGTGTGGGTTCCGGGGCCCTACTATGGGAAAAACAAGAATAGTCCCACTGCCTACCCAAAAGCATGTCGTAAGAGTCGACTAATTGGCAGCTTCCTTCGAAGTCAGTGTGTATCTGCCTGAGAGGCAAGGAACCAACAGTCTGAATCTGTCAAATGGATGCACACACAACACTCAGGTTCTGGAACAGGGCTGCAGTCCAGAAGTGGACAAACAACCTGAACTTTCCGCCGGAGTTTACAGCCAGTGAACGAGAAGAAGATCATTATCATCAACATCAGGTAATGCCCCCAAGCAAAGGCGGTCATGGCTCTCCATTCTACCCAATCATCACAGTCACATAGTAGGTCTCTGCTCTTGGTCGCCCCATCTATATGGCCAAGTCATTCAAGTATTTATCTATCTTCCTTTTGCTCTTATTACATCAAACTTGCCAGCTGTCACCAAGTTCTCAAGTCTGTTTCTTCTCATAACATAGGTGCCCCCCACCCTGGCAAAAAATACAAATTATTTCTCTTCAGATTTTGAGTTTTTAATCTGTCTCATAGAGGACAGCTTTGTTGGTTTTTTTTCTCTCTATCATTTCATGATATTCTTTGCATTTTTCTATTTCACTGCAAGTAATAGTTTAAAACTATGCTAATTGTTGAGTCTCATTTCCATATGAAAACATTGGTCCTATACAGCATGCACTTTCCCACTCTACCCACACAAGTTAGAGACACATTATAACCATCACTGCTAGTTATATTAAAATGAATTCCAGGGAAATTTGACTAAAGAGCTCAACAAAATGGGAAAGAGGAAAACGTGCACAAAACAACACAACGTAACGTTTCGGCCGGGCAGCCTTTTTCAAACATAAGTGAAATACACAAACGAGGAATGGAGAGTATGTAGATTTCTGAGGGGTGACGTGAGCGACGTTTAAAAAAATGTGATGCGGAATAAATGAAATAAAATAAAATAAAATAAAATAAAATAAAATAAAATAAAATAGTTATATTAACGCCCAATTCTCTATTCCCAATGTAAAATTAAGTTTTGTGCAGGTAGCAATTTGGAAGAAACAAACATTTCTAACATCAAAGAACATCAACACTGAGCTGTGAATAAGAATACTCATTGTTCATATCTCAAGTATGAAAAAAAAACAGAAAAAAAAGTTAAATACACTGCCTTTGCAGCAGCAGCAGTAGTAGCAGAAGCAGTAGAGGAAGTAGCAGCTAAGGAAGCAGCAGCAGCAGTAGTAGCAGTAGTTAGCCGTAGCAGTAGTAGTATTAATAGTAAGAAGTATTAATAGTAATACTCAGAGTAGTAGAATTTTAATAACAGTATTTCTACTAAATACAGCAGAAGTGGCAGCAGCAGTACAAAAAACAGTAGCAGTTTAATATTAGTAATACTACCAGTAGTAGCAGCAATGGCAGCAGTAGTTTAAAAAAAGAAAATTAATTTGCTTTTTGTAATTCTAAAGAGGTAAAAGTTAGTGCCACAAAAGGCTAGCTAATATATGATGTTAAATGGCTAAAGTGTTACCCCAACAATCGTAAATCCGCTCCGACTCCGTGGATGTATGTGTGGGCATGATGGCATCTATCCACCGGGTTCTCTCACTCCTGAAATTTAAAAATAAAAATACAACACAAATAAATAATTATTTCCATGTCACACACAAAAATGTTTATACATCTCATCTTATTTTGATCCTCTTGTACCTTGCCGTGTCAAAGATAAGTATAAACAGCAGGAAAGTGGCTGTTTAAGTGCTTTGTTCGGGTAAGGGGATTCCCAGGGATTGTTACTCTATCTGCATATCTGCGCACTGTTATCATGGTCAGCCTCTCTGCCAATTCCCACTTGATCTGTATGATCACTGCTCATCGTGGTAAACTGTTTTATTCTTGTGAGTTCTGGGGCCCTTCTGGAGGTTTGGAGGGGGGGAGGGGGGGCTGCGCAAGGTTAAACCTACTGCCCTCTAACAATCATGCTGTAAACCGTGACTAATTAAGGGATTTTTTGTGAGCAAAAAGGAAACCAAAACAGCACTAAAGCAGTCTTTCAAGCAGGAGTGGAGAAGGCAGAACGGAGATTATAGACCAGAGAGTGACAGCATAAACAAACTCAACAGGAAAGAACAAACATCAATTTTTAGACTTCGGACAGGACACTGGTCTTCGAGCACACCTGTACAGGATAGGCATAAAAGAATCTGCTGCCTGTGATTGCGGAGCAGAAAGACAGACCCCTGAGCACATACTGCAGTACTGCCCTAACCTCTCCCAGCAAAGACTGTGGATCTGGCAAAAGGGAGCCACATTGCAAGAGAAGCTATGGGGGACCGGTGGCAACCTTTAACGCACAATCCTATTTGTGACCCAGACGGGACTCAAGGTTTAGCATGACTGATGTCAAACGCACAAGAAGAAGAAGAAGAAGAAGGGGTTTTCTGAAATTATATGTGTAAGGCCAACAGGCACAGATATTACAGCCTAACTGTAAACAAAAACACTGCATGCCAAGTGGTCTTTTAAGAGCAAACACAGAAGAAATTAAAATATTAAATGATACCAGTGGAGAATAAGAATAAATTAAGTAAAGCAAAGTACCTTTTTCACTCCAGTGACCTGCTGGAGATATGACGCCAGAAACTGTGCTACTGTGGCTTCCAAGAAAAACAAATTAACATAATTCCCCCCCCCCCCTTTTTTTTTTAGACAAGGATCAGATAAAGTTATGATTGTTTGCACATTATGCAAAATGGAAGAAAATCAGAACCAGGAAATCAGACCTCCAAAATGACCCAGGGTTCGCTGGGAAGACAACATCCGACAGTCCCTGACCCACAGAGGACAGCAATGGAACAAAGCCAAAAAAAAAAGAACAGCTGACAGAGAGTCCGAAAATCTCTGGCAAAGCTCTACACTCCAGGGTAGAAGAGGGTCGACTAGGTAAGTAAGTTAAAATAAACAACAACAACAAAACAAGCTGGACTCACTCAGACTTGCATGACAGAACCATCTCCACTTGTCGGCTCTCGTGGTTGGCCAGCATGGCCAGGAACAAGATGTTGGGGATGCCTGTAGCCGAGCCTGGCACTAAATGTCTGGTCTTGTCTGGGTTATCGATTGCCTCCACATGAACAGCATTGCGCTGACAGTAATCTCTGACTTGGAATACCGTGCTGAGAATAAACAAATAAAATTAATATTAAGGTTCTGCAAAGATTTTCTCCAAGATTAGATGGATACCGGGAAGGCTAACCCGATCAACAAATACCCGCAGAAGTCGGATGTGTTGGCTGAAAGGTGCAAATATCGCAGCCATGCTGTAAACGGACAATGCAATTACATCTTCGGATGAACGCAGAAGAAGAAGAAGAAGATGGATTGGACACCCTCAGAGGATGAGGGGATCCCTCCTGTGTTGAAGCGAATTACAGATGGGTAGAGATACTGACCTCTACGATACAAAGATGTGTGCAAGCGGGCCATGAATGATACAGGTAGTGAGAATGATTTATGGGAGCCAGATACCAGATACCATGGATTGTGTTGATGGCGGGGGGGGGAATCAGGAATGGAATTAGAAATAAAGCGGAAAATTACTGTAGATAGGTTTTGAGCTGAGCGCATTAGAAGAAATAATATCATTCCAGGGACCTTTACTTCCAAGAAGATTTCCTGGTAACTTTTTAAGTCTGGGTCACACTGGAAAGCTAGATCAATTTAGTTACAACCACTGGTTTCATTGGAGATTTCAACGTATGCCTGCAGCCCAGCAATGGTGAGGGAGACTGAGCAGAAATGACTGCCTCAATTATAAAAGGCCACATCTACAATAACTAGCCACTCATCCAGTCAAAGAACATATCAACCAGCCAAGCAATCTTCCAAACATACAAACATATATTCGTATCAACCAATCTTCAAATCAATAAATACATCAACCAACCGACCAATCATCTAAACAATAAATATATGAACATATATTCATATCAACTGATCTTCCAGTCAATGAATATATCAACCAGCCTACCAATCAATCTTCCAAACAATGAATATACAAACAAATATTCGTATCAACTGATCTTCCAGTCAATGAATATTTTAACCAATCAACTATGGAAATTCAATTAACTAACCAATTTACCCACTAGTCAGTTACTCAACAGATCTCCACAATGAACATCAAGCAATCCAGTTCATAAGTGCTTGGATTTTCTTGTCAATATACTCCGCAGCTTGCAGTAGCTGTTGACATCAATTCTGCATTGGTTTACTATTATTCTTTCCTTGTAATATTCTTGTCTGGCCTCACCATTTTTGACTTGTTGTTCTTGCAGTCTGGTCATTGTTTCATAGTCACAATCATCATCTGGTGAATAAACTACCAACTTGATCAACATCTGATCAAGATAAGAATCTTGAGCTGATTCAGTGAGCGCCTTTTTTTTTTTACAGAACACTGACTTCCCCGTATTGATTCTGAAGCACTATTTTGAGGGGGAAAAGAAAAGACCCACTGCCCCCCCCCCCCCCAACAAACATGGCGACTTGTTTCTTTCGAATTCAGAATGCATCTGTCTCAGTGACCCCAAAACAAAAACAAAACAGTAATAATAAACCAACAACAAAAAATCAAGATCAGTGAAACAGAGGTGCAAACAAAACTCAAGTTCTAGAACAAGACTACCAGAAGTGGATGAACAACCATAATTTTCTGCCAGAGTTTAAGTTGATGAATGTGAAGAAGCAGAATACTGGATCACCCTTTCTTCTTGTATAACTGCCTTTCTCTACTTATTTCCCCATTAATATTCCTGTTATTATTGAGTCTGCCTACATTAACTGAACCTACTAACCAACCTACCCATCCACCTGAGCTGATTCAATGAGCAGCTCTACAGAACACTGACTCACCCCTTCTTCTTGGTAACCAACAGGATGTCGTTGAAGAGGAACAGGTACACATGCTCCTTGTGGGACCCCAGCAGTTTACTTAACGGCTTGCGTCCAGCCCCTTCGGCTTTGATCTGGGACAGTTCTCCTTGCTTGACCAGGAACCTTGACGCAGAGATCAGCGGGAATTCCTGGGTGTTGGTGAACAAGAGAAAATAATGTGATAGTTTTGGTTTAGTTCAAAAGGTTGGGATAATCAATTTAATTGCGCTTTTGTTTTATCCTACATGGCTCGGTCTCTCTATCTGCAGATGGCAAGCTGCCTGCCAAAAGCAGTGCACAAAGGATGAACTGTAATTCCAATGACAACCCCAGGGATATCTTGAAATGGACCTATGACGTCCAGAGTGTGAGGCACAATCATTAAGCCATGGAGAGTCGCTCCTTGGTTTGGTTTGTAAAGGACAGCTTTCACTGCACACAGACATCTCCTCAAGTGTTCCAGTTCCCTCTTATAGATCACATAGGGACAATCCCGGCACAGGCATTAAGTTTGAGGCACTGGCGAGGGTCAAAACTGGACATGGTATAAAATGATTTGTTTCTAATATTGTTTTGCAGGCAGCTCTTTTTTTTAATTTTGAAATCTTGCATGGGTAGAAACCTGCTATTTTCTTTCAATTTATAAACACTATAAGGTTTTTCCAAAAGAACATTTACATTGATACTTCACACATCTCCCCCCCCCCCCCCCCGTTTCTTTTTTTTTGCGGCCCGGGGGGGGGGGGCATTATAGGAGATGACTAGACATCTATGACTAGATATCTGTCTGATGAATCTTTGAAAACAAATTTATAATAATCTAGTAAAAACTATGTGACAAAATTATTATGAACCATGAGTACTTACGAACAAGGGGATAATTATTTAATCCATTATTAATGTTCATGAAAACAGTCACACATAAACACACTAATCTACACCCAAAAACACAACAATTAAACCTCACAAAACCAGCAATTCTACATTTAAACCATAAATGCTAATTCACATGTAATCTATAACAAACCCCACTATATCACATAAATACCTAGCACAGTATGAACATGCAACAAAAATAAGACAGGATTCTATTGTAAAATAAACACAAAAACATGTACAAAACAAAATTACAGAATTTTAATCTTTGTAATTCTACAAAGGGCAACTTATACCTTGACCTTGAACTCCAGGTTTGATTTCAGCACACAAATCTGCTCCGTCTGCTGCATCTTTTTTGCTGCTTCATCACATCGCTTGGCTACCTGCACAGGGAAAATTTCAGTCTGTGTAACTTCAAGCAAGTTTTGTGATCATCATTGTACAGCTGATGGTCCCCTTTTTGACAGCAACACCTTATCTTTTTTCAATGTTCTAATATATGTGCAACAAACTGTTACCTTAACTACTATTGTCTGTTCTGATTGACAGGAAAGTTGGACAGCAGAGGCAGGGAAAGACCAAGAGGGAAGATACTGGACAGTGTGGCATTATGGCATAGGAGAACATCTTTAACAGAATTTAATCACAGGAAACAGACACAATTAACCACACAATAAGGCAAGGACTTCTTCTTCTTCTTCTTCTTCTTCTCTTCCACCTTGTACCTCATCGAAGTGTCGGGGGGAGATGTAATGTTCGTTGATGAGCTCTTTCAAGAGCACTATTAAGACTGATGTTCATTTCTGTAAGGCTGTTCTTAATGCCATCACTCCATCTTTTCCGAGGTCTTCCACTCGCTTTATACCCGTTGTATCGTTTTAGTGTGGCTCGCTGTGGCAGATAGTACCAGGGCATTCTTGTTAGGTGTCCAAACCATTTCATTTGTTGTTCCTTGATGACCTGTAAGACTGGCTTTATTCCTAGCATTCGTCTGATTTCATGATTTTGTATTCTGTCTTTCCTTGAAACTCCTGCAAGGACTAACATGGAAAAATCATCTAAACATGGAAGAACTCTAAAAGTTCATTCTAACTTTATATAAAAGTTTTCTAACTTTATGAAAAGGTTAATTCTGACTATGTAAAAACTCATTCTAACTGTAACTATACGTTCATTCTAACTGTAGAAACTTATTCTAATGGTATATAAAACAATAACTCATTCTAAGTATATGTATAACACATTTTTTTTAAAGACAGAGAAAGAGAGAAACATTCAATCAATCCTCATCGTTCCCAGAGGCACAAACTGTCGCCACTCAATTCGATCCTGAGCCATCCTCTCTATCTCCAGTTCTGTCCTTCGCGTAGCATCGAGTTCAGCCTTAAAAGTTCATCTCCAAATGCTGCTGGGCCGGCCTCTTCCTCACTGTAATTGTGGCGTCCATTACATTGCCTGTCTCGGCCATCTATCTTTCTTCAATCTGAGGATGTGTCTAATCCACTTCCATCTTCGGGGTTTTTTTTTTCCTCTAAATTTACATCTTGTAAGTCTGTCATTTGTTTTAATCTAGAATTGCTGATTTTTATCTTCCTATGTGAACTCCAACAATCTACTGAGAAGTCTTCCCTCAAAACTTCTGAGCATTCTCTATCTTTCTGTCTGTTTTCCAGATTTCTGATCCATAGAGGAGAACTGTCCTAACGCATGATTTTTATATCCTGAGTTTAATTTTAGTACTGTAGATGTTTGGTCTCCAGACACTCGAAGTCTGTTGTAGGCAGCATTTGCTTTTGCACATCTCTGCCTGATTTCAACAACTACATTTCCATCCGAGGAGATACTGCTTCCCAGGTAAGTGAAGTCAGTTACTGTTTCCAAACCTACATTATCCATTACTATAGGTCTTAAATTTTGGGGTTTATCTCCAGCAGATTTTTGTTTTGTTTTTTTACTGAGAGAAATAGGGCAGATAAAAAAGAAATCTTGAATAGCTCTCTCCCCTCCCTCCTTCTCTTTCTTTTCTCCCTTCATTCTATCTCTCCTTGCCCCCTCCTCCTCTCATTGTGTACATTCACTAACATCCCACCTTTGTCAAACTGTCCATAGCTTTCTTGGCGCTAACATGAGCTGGAGTGTTGGGGTCCAGCCGATGACAAACGGCATCAACCAGCAATGGCAGCCTGGTGATGCGTTGCATCGGCAACAGAAGGAACGAGCCCAGGGGGAGGAACTGGCAGTCTGGGTGCTGTTCCAACTTTCTGACTGCATCGGTGAAGTCTGTGTTTAGTCTGTGGGGGGAAAAAGTTAAACTGTTAGTGTGCAGGGTTCATGCAAGCTTTTATAAGATCAGCAGCAGCTAGTTGAGTGGTTAAGAAAACTGGACTCTCATGTAGGAGCCCAGGTTCAAACCTTCAGTAAGGTTATGAGGGGTTTTTCTGTTAAAGGCCAAAACAATATTCCTAAATTGCAGTCCTTAGCAGCTGCAGAAGCCAGGTGGCTCTAACTCCTCAGGTTCAAAAGTCTTTCCTCCGACACCACTTAAGGGGTAAATACAGGAAGTAATGACAATTTTTAAAAAACAAAAACAAACAATTTTAAAAATAGGAAAGTCTTGGGAAAGATGTACAGCTCGCCCATGTGCTCTTTCCATGTGCACTGTGTAAGTTGATATTCATTTCTTTAACGTTGTTTCCGATTCCATCATTTCATCCTTTGTGTGGTCTTCCCTTTGTGTCATCCCCACAATCTGTTTCTTCAACTTTATATTCACCAGCTGTAATCACCAGCAGGAAGTTCTAGTTGTTCATCCATTTCTAAACTTTAGTCTTGCCTTAGAACATATCTGCATTTTACAGATCTGGCGAATTTCTATGCAGACTGTTAGTTCCTTGCCTTTCAAGCAGGTGTGTCATCTCCATTATCTGTTCAACTTTACATTCACTAGCTGTAATCACAAGCAGGAAGTTCTGGTTGTTCATCCATTTCTCGACTACAGTCTTGCTTCAGACCATATCTACATTTTACAGATCTGACTAATTTCTATGCAAAATGTTTGTTCCTTGCCTTTCAGGCAAATCTACTCTAACTCTGAAAGAAGTCTCCACAATGAAAGTTGACTGTAATGGGTCTCCATCCAACTTAGTCTCTTCCCCAGATGGTACACTCCTCAGATTGCTGTTCAACACTCTTGTCGTTGTCCACCATCTGTAGAGCTATCTACCGCTTTCTCCCTTGCTTTCAACTTTTCCCTCTAAAATGGCTTATATAAAATGGCTTATATAACCCTTGAGTGGGTTTCAAGGGCTTCATTTTGGGAGGAACAAGAATTACCCCACTGTCTCCCTAAGAAGCATGTCGTAAAAGTTGACCACTTTGGGATATTTTACTTTTAATTTGGAGTGCATCTGCCCAACAGGTGGGGAATCAATGAAGGGAGCCGTAGTAATGTGAATGCTGGCCTGCTGGCTGGAGAATCTTGGTTAAGAACCCGCCTCGTGGTGGAATCGTGTCAATACTGACCTTGGCTCCCAGGTCAACAAAGACTAAAATGGTTAATGTCCCTGGGAAGTAAAGGTGGTTGGCATGATAATGACCACATATCCATCATATGTTAATAAGTCTGTGAAATAGGTGACAAATCCCCCCCCCCCCCCCCACTAAAAAAAAAAATGTGGCTGAAAATTGTTAAAACAATAATAATTAAAAAAAAATAGATTACCGTAACAAATTGAGGACTCGATCCTGGAATGCCTGGTTGCCACAGTAGCGCACATAAGGCTCAAACCTGTTGGATGCATGTTTGTGAATGATGTCACAGATGTCCTGTATGTAGCAGGATTCTTGCCATCTCTCTTCCAGATCCTTCAGAAACCTGAAGCCAAACAATTTCAACACAATTAACACTTTGTGGGTTCTGGGAGCCCATTTGGGGGTGGGGGGTGGGGGGTGGGGGGGAGAAGAGAATAGACACACTGCCCCCCTCCTCCAACAAGCATGTAGTAAAAGGCGACTAATTCAGGTTTTGCTGAAATCGGATGTGTAGGCCGAAAAGCACAGATACTGCAGCCTGTCCTTAAAGCACAACACAATGTGCAAATGACTTTTAAGAGTAAATTCAGAAGAAGCAGAAGAAGAAGAAGAAGAGAAGAAGGAGGAGGAGAAGGAGGAGAAGAAGAAGGATACCCGAGACCACTCCAGCTAAACAGTATGAATGTTGGCTGTTCAGGAGGAGACAAGAGTTCATCGCATGTCTGAGGTAGAGCAAGAATACAAATCTGATCTGTGATTTTGTTAATCCTGTGAGATGGCCAACCCTCTATTTTGTCTATCAGCAAAGGATGATGATGTATATTATTACAATAAACAGACAGCCCTGCTAATGGGGATACACTTTCATTCGTGTATATTTCCTTGAATATACATTACATATTAATAATAATTAATAATATACAAATAAGAGAATGGGGGGGGGGGGGGGTCCTAAAGTTTCAAATACTACCATTAGATGTGACTTTGTCCCATGGAGGTAGGTCAAGAAGCTGTGTAGGTACCACCTCTACCAAAAACTCTGGCCGAACTACAGAACTTACAACAGCTGCTGTGAACTCAGTTATGCAAGAGATGCATCTTCCTTTGTGGGATGAGTTCGACTACCGCTTAGATGTTTGCCGAGCAGCAGAGGGCGGCCATATTGAACATATATAACCACTATTGTAAGTTTGAAAACTTTAGACCTTTTTCTCTCTCTCTCTCTCTCTCTTGTATGTATATTATTAATGAGTAAAGTAAATTCAAGAAAAGTTGCCGACAACCAAGCAACACAAACTGTTTCAAGCTGGGAAGACATTAGAATCCTAGGTCCAGGATTTTTTAAAAATCCATCTCAACGCAGATCTGAACCCAAGAACTCGTTGTTGGGTTCCAGCGCCCTTTTGAGAGGAAAACGAACAGACCCAGGTAGTAAGTAGTGACTAATTAGGGGTATTTCCTTCAATGCTGGAGTGCATCTGCCTGAAAGACGAGGAACAACAGTCTGCACAGATATATTAGCCACATCTGTAAAAAGGAAGTTCAGGCAAAACTCTAGTTCTGGAACAAGACCAAAGTTCAGAAATGGACAAACAACCAGAACTTTCTACTGCAGTTTGCAGCCAAAGAGCACGAAGAAGAAGTGGAAACCAAGAACTATAGATCAGCAGGCAAGTGTCTTGCCATATATGCATATATTGTTAGCACTACGCCAAATTCACCTATGTGCTAAATCTTTGTCCAAGAAAATCCTGTTTCAACATTAGATTATCAAATCAATTGGAAAACCACCAACCCCATCACAAGACAACTACTCTATTAGGGACAGATCAGAACAAGTCATTAGCCCATGCCTCGGAACAGGGCACAACTGATTACTCAGTCAGAAATTTAAAAAAAAGGGGTGGGGGGGGGGGGGGTATCAGTCATGTACATATGTGGAAGATCGTCCCAGACAGCAGAACATTTACTTCAGGACTGCACTAACAATGACACATTAAGGCAAACCTTTTCACTAAAATGAACAACAGTGGAAATTAAACTCTAGACTAAAAAACAACAGTGAAATTTCTATGAGAGGCAAAATTAATGATACAGACAATTGATTTCAGGCACACACATAAAAAAAAAGAAGAATACAGATCTCTCTGAAACTGTGTAGTTGTGTGAAAACTAATACTTCACTTTAACATATGTGGAGTAGGAATCAGAGTTTGGCCTCTGGAATATTCTGAATTAAGAAATAACAGCCTTGAAAATTAATTTAGTTGAAATTTGGAAAAAAAACTGCATTTAGCGACACTGATGTTGTGCCAACTTTTAATTAAAAACTGAAGATAAAAGCCACTAACTCTTCGCTAATATCCTTGATGTGTCCGATATTGGAGAAGAGGACCTGCCTCTGGCGCCGATCGATGACACACTTGTCAGACATCTCAGGCTGGAACTCTGGGGCCATGAGGAACACCTGGATGAGCACTTTCAGGGACTTCAGGTAGGAAGCCTCAGAAGTAATGATTTCAAACATGGCCTGAAATTACAGATCATTTCATGAAGATGAAATTACACGTCATTTTATGTGAGTGAACACAAGGGTTATTAATGGAAGCATTTAAGATTAGGGGGTGAAAAAATAAACAATTAGGTTAACTTCCTCAAGTTTTATCACATCTGGCTTCATGATCATGTGTAGAAAATATGTCTACCTATTGAGAGAATCACACTGCAGTATCGACTTCAGTTCCAATTTAGAGGATAGGCTTGGCAGAATATTTAGTTTTGGGGTTATTTTTGCTCCTGACAATGCTTTACTAATGCAATTTCCACAAATGGATAAAAGTCTACAATTTTGTTGCCTAAGCAGTGTGGTTTTGTTGAAAGGCACAAATATTGACATATTTATCTTGAGAACACTTTCAGAAAGAATGATTGAAATCAACAGAGATCTGTTTTGTGCTTTATTATACTATAGCATTTGATAAAGTGAAACATGAAAGTGTTTGAACTCTGGATGGTAACGGTCTAAGAACAGTAAGTAGAAAACATATGCTGGCAAAAAATAAAAGCAGCCATAAGGAATGACAACAAAATTTGAACTTTTCAAAACATTAAACTAGTCAGGGATATGTACGTCCACCGATTTATTCGATTTGTACAATGAAATAGTAATAAGATCCATACATGGAATGCCAGATATATTGGTTAGTTGACAAATTGCTGAAACTGAAACACAGCTACAAGAAGTGACGGATATAACTGTAACAGAATGTGAAAACAAGGGTGTTTGTTTGAACAGCAGAAAAGCAGAAGTTATGGCAATGACAAAGAAAACTGACCCTCTAAAATGCAACATTGAAGTAAATGGGACAAATCTAAAGCAAGCTGATATGTTTGGTATTTGGGTACCCTGATAACATTAGATGGAAGATGTAATAAAGAAGTTAAATGTAGACAAGTTCAAGCAAAGGCAGCATTTTACAAAATGAAGAAAATTTAATGCAATCTTTCTTTGTCAATTGAGACAAGAAAGAGAATTCTTAATAGCTATATAAATACTAATTTGATATATGGAAGTAAATCATGGACAGTTGGCAGATTAGTGAAAAATTATTTGGAAACTGCAGAGATATTGATTTTGTAGATGAATGATGAGAATACCCTGAACAGATAAAAAGAGTAATGAAAGAGTCTTGAAATAAACTAACTCACAAAGGTAACTGATTGTCCACATCAGAAAGAGACAATCTGCACTGTTTGGTCACGAGATGACAGTAGGAAAGTTGGAGGGGAGGAGAGGCAGAGGGAGACTCAGAGAAAAGATGCTGAATAGTCTGATATCATGGCATGCAGGATCATCTGTCTCAGAGCTGACTCATAGTACACGAGCCAGAAGGTTGTGGAAAGACATGACTACCAACACCACACAGCATGGACTTTAAGAAAAAGCTAAACTTCCTAATACTACCAACCATCCCCACAACAACAACACTGCCTAAATCTTTAGTCTCAGTGATGATCCCCTCAAAACACTACTAATACTACTACTACTACTACTACTACTACTACTACTACTACTACTACTACTACTACTACTCTCTCTCTCTGAAAAAGTTAACAAATTACACCCATAAACTAAATTCTAAATCAGAAAATGAACTTGAAAAAAAAATATTTATGATTGGTTCTGATAAACAGCCAGCTTTCATAGTTAAGGCATTATGAACACGCTTTGTAATTCTGAGTTGAAGTTTAATAGTTTAACGGGCACTGCGATTTAATGTTTCATATGCGCATTTTGGCTGAATGTTTTACAAAGGTTTACACAGAATGTTCAGTAATTGGTGGATTTAAAATATGGATTTAAAAAAACAAAAGTCTTTACCTCCTGTATTTTCTTCTCTGGGTCTGTCAGTTTGTCCAAAATGCCAGACTCAATCACCTGTTGGAAGACAATTATCACACAGGTGAATGAATCCCCATGGGAAGGAGTAGGATAAAAAAGTGAGTGGGGAAAAAAGGTGGGGGCGGAGGCCCCCGTCACCGACCCTTAATAAGCATGTCATAAAAGTGGATATATTCTTCATCTGTATACTCTGGTGGAAAGTTCTGGTTGTTCGTTCACTCGTTTAGTTTTGGTCTTGACCATGAGTTCTGCATCACTCTGTTTTACAAATCTGGCTTTTTTGTATGCAAACTGTTGGCTACTTGCCTCTCAAGCAGATGCACTCTAATTTGTCATATTGTATGACATGCTTAGTGGGCCTATTCTTTTTTTTTCTCCAAAACGGAACACCGGAACCCACAAAGGAAACAAAAGGGAATAATATTTATAAGACACCAATTACACCATCAACTTCATGTTCCTGACATTAATGATGAAAAACAGCTGGCTAAGTGGTTACACTGCTAGGCTCTCATGCAGCAGACCCAGGTTTAACCCTTGGTAAAGGATGGAGATTTTTGTGTCGGAGACCAAAATAAAAATCCTGACCTCCACAATGCATGGTGACTGTACTAGCAATCTTCTTCTTCTTCATTTTCTTCCATTACTTCTTCAAAATCTTGTTGAGGGATATAAAAATCTTCAGTGTGCTCTTTCCAACGCATTGTATTAGTTGGTCCTAATTTTCTTAATGCTGTTCTTAATGTTGTAATTTGTTACATGGTCTTCACCTTGTTCTGTGTCAACTATATTTCTGCAGTGTGGCTCCCTGTGACAGTGGCTACTGCTTTTTAATCAACTGTATGACTTGTTTCATTCCTAGCCTTCCTCTAATTTCTTCATTTTTAATGTTATTTCTGATAGTGTCATATTCGGCTCAGTCTTGAAGTATCTGTTCTGCTGTCTGAGGCGACGTTTCACATATCTGACAGGTTAGGATCTTGTGGGAGAATGTGTACAATTCGGAGGACCAAATGGATCATCACAGTCAAGTGGGAGTGATGCAGCGGGAAGTGACAAGGGGATCTGGCCGATACTCAGCACTAAGAGAAAAAGCAAGATAGATGTGTAATCAGAATACTACTGTCACTATTAGAATGGAAACTCTGTGCTGGCTGCTGAAGAGGGGGACGGATCACTTATGAGAATGCCCAGAGTGCTGTGATGTCGGTTCTTGAATCACACAACTCATATGGCTGATACACTCATCTTAAATTTGGTGTCCAAATTGTGTGTATATAGGGCTGTGTAATCAGCTGTGTCCTGTGTTACTCTGCAGCTCTTCTGATTCATATATCTCTGCTTTTATGAATGTTGAATTAAGAATCGACATCATGGCACTCTGGACACTCCCATATGCATCACTCCATCCCCATCTTCAGCAGCAAGTGAAGAGTTCCAATTACTATAGTACCAGTAACTGTCTGATTGTACATCTGCCTCATCTTTCCCTCGAGTGCTGAGCATCAGCCAGAGCCCCTGCTAACTCCTTGCAGCATCATTATCCTCAGACAATGATCTACTTGCGCTTCCGCACTGTTCACTCGCTCCGAGTGGGCCCTCACAACATCTAGCTTGTCACACATCATTTCACCACCAAGTGGTGCAGAATTGGCCGGTCTTTCTGCCTGCTCGTTTATCAAGTTGTTATGATTTTGGTCCTAAGTCCTCAGGCTCATGACGCCCTGTCCTAAACTGCTATTAAAGTGGCAAACACAGGCAGCAGAGGCAGTTTCTTCTTCTTCTGCCTTTCTATCCCCCAATGGAGCATAGGCCATCAACCAACTCACGCCAAGTCGTTCTATCCTTCGCCATTGCATGGAGCTATCCCCATGTCCTCCCCATCTTTCTAACTTCAATCTCCAGCTCTTTTCTCTATGTGTTTTTTGGCCTTCCTTTATTCCTATGCCCCTGTGGGTTCCAATGCAAAGACATTCTAGTTATGCTGTTCTCCTGTTTTCTCAGTGTGTGTCCTATCCAACGCCAGAATCTTTTCCTCATCACCTCTTGGTCCACTGGAGCCTGTTTAGGTTTAGTTCTCTCCCAAAGCTCTACATTAGTTATTCTATCATACCATTTAATTCCTTCTATTCTGCGCAGGCACCAGTTAATGAATGTTTGTAGTTTATTAGTAATTGCCTTAGTTGTTCTCCATGTTTCCGCCCCATACAGAGACAGTTTACATGGCATGAACTCTGGTAAGGTTTAATATTAATAATTAACATGATGACATTATCTATGACATATGACACAACACAGATGACATTTACCTCCGGCATCTGGCACCACAGAGCGCGGTGCAGACTTCCGCCATTCTTAAACACATCTTCAATGACTGATCTTCTCTCGGGTTTGTCTGTGATACTGATCTGATCAAAGCTATTTGAGCCTCTGGTGCTGCCTTTGCTTTTGTGGCCGATACTGGCGGTCTTGTTGACAGAGATAAAGCTACCAGATTTCTCAAGTAGCTTTTCAACATCTTCATAGAGGGACTCTGGACACAGATAGAGAGACACCATAAGCATTAAAAACTTTAATCTACTGCTATATAAAAAGCCTGTGGTAGACTATTCTTTTTTTTACATATTTCAACCAACATTTTACTAAGTCCACCGCAATACCTGTATCATTCATGCCCCCATTTGCATGAATATGGTCTTTATATCGTAGTAGAGGTCGGCCTCAACATCTTCTACCCATCTTTAATTCACCATAGAGGATTCCTTAGGGACTCTGCCATCCTCCATATGCCAGTAGATTAAATCAATTAATATGTTTGATGTCTCTCTCTACCCAGACATAGCACAATATAACACAATCGTCTGGAAAGACGGAAAGGTGCCAAGACAATATACTGCCATACAAAAGGCAGTGTGGTAGAACTGCAAAGACATACAAACCCTACAGAATACCACTTAATCTCTCTCTCTCTCTCTCTGTGGGTGTGTGTGAGTGTGTGTGCGTGCGTGCATTCTTCACTACTACCACAAAAAAATGCTGCTGCCACTACTTCCACAACTGCTGCTGCCACTACAACAACAACAGCTGCTGCTACTACTAAAACCACAACTACCACTACTACAAATATTTCTGCCACTTCTACTACAACCATAAATGTTGCTACTACTACTACCTCCACAACAGTTGTTGCTGCTGCCATTACTGCTACCCTAACTACTGCCGCTGTTGCTGCTACTACTACTGTTGCTGCAACTACTACCACAACTGTTGCTGCCACAACTGCTGCTATTGCTGCAATAACTGATGATATTACTTCAACTGCTGCTATTATAATTGTTTCTGCCACTTCTACTACTACCACAACTTTTGCTACTACTACTATCCCATTTGCTGCTGCTACTGCTTCTACTACTACCACAACAACTGCTGCCACTACTACCAAAATTGCTGCTGCTACTACTACTATTACACCTTTAGCTGTAGCTACTACTACTACTACCATTACCACCACAACTGCTAGTGCTTCTAGTACTACCACAATCTCTGTTGCTGCTATTACTACTAAAACTGCTTCTGCTGCTACTACTACAACTGCTGCAGCTACTACTAATACCACTAATACACCATTTGCTGCTACTACTACAGCTGTTGTTACTACTACTACTACAGCTGTTGTTACTACTACTACTACAGCTGTTGTTACTACTACTACTACCACCACAACTGCTGCTGCTTCTACTACTACCACAACTGCTGCTGCTACTATTACTACTAAAAGTACTGCTGCTGCTACTACTACTACCACAACTGCTGCTGCTACTATTACTACTAAAAGTACTTCTGCTGCTACTACTACTACCACAACTGCTGCTGCTACTATTACTACTAAAAGTACTGCTGCTGCTACTACTACTACCAAAACTGCTGCTGCTACTATTACTACTAAAAGTACTTCTGCTGCTACTACTACTACCACAACTGCTGCTGCTACTATTACTACTAAAAGTACTTCTGCTGCTACTACTACTACCAAAACTGCTGCCTCTGTTTTAACTACTTAAGCTGTCACATTTCTCAGAAACAGCCACAAATAAAATACTTATATTTGGCCCTTACCTGGACGTCTCTTGTCCTCCATGTACTCATCATCAGAAGACAGGTCTTCAGACGTAGACTTGTCAGAGCGCATGTTCTGAATAACCTTGTCCTTGCTGTACCACTGATACAGAGGCTCCGACTGGAACTTACTAACATATTTATCCGAAGCCTTGCCATAGATGTGCTCATCCTCCTGCAAAACACACACATACATGAGGGCAAAGGTACTCCCACACAAGATACCACTGTTGGCGTTTGAAGATCTAAGCTAAGCTTTCACACATTCTAGACAAGTGGTCTCCAGCTGGCGGGGAGGATGGGGAAGGGGGGATGCCTACTTGGGGGATGGGGCCAGAGGAAGTTTCAAGGGGGCATCGAGTCATTGTGAAATTGAATGTATTTCTATTTGTAAAAATCTGTTATATTATTTTGTTTTTCAGTTCAAGTATGTGTATATATATATATATATATATATATATATATATATATATATATATATATATATATATATATATATATATATATATATATATATATATATATATATATATATATATATATATATATATATATATATATATATATATATATATATATATATATATATATATAAAAGAATAAGATAATTTGAAAACTATTTATAAAAACAAAAAGGCAGGAACATTTTTTGGAGGGGTTTTCATAAGCAGTTTGTTTTTTCTACAGTTAGAAATCTAATTAATAGCATTTAATTGTTGATAAAGAACACATTCTGACTAAAACGTATCGCCATACTGTCTGTCTCCCTTTTTGCAGAATCTATTATTCTCCTCTTTTTAATCCTATTTTGTATGTTGGGGTGGGAGGAGGGGGTGGGAGGAGAGGGCGTGGGGGTTTTGACATATACTCAAAGGAGGAGGGGGGGGGGGGGTGACCTAAAAAAAAAAAATCGGAGGCCACTGTTCTAGACCAAGCTATATAAGATGAGATGAGATCAGTTGATGATCAGTTTTCTTTACCGGTAAATTTTCCTACCCAAATATTTCACAGAGATGTCTCCGTCATAGATAATCATAATTTCTGTTTTGTTAAAATGTAATTATAATCATAGCCAGTAGGTAGTTAGGCAGGCAGACAAACATACAGAGAAAGACAGAGGGAAAGAACAGGCAGACAGACGTACAAAGAGAAAGGCAAAGGGACAAGCGGCAGAAAGTGGCAAGCAGGTACATATTAACACACATATACCTACATAGGTAGCCATTTTGTGTTTTAAAAAGCATTTAGAAATGTGCCTGTGAGAAAAATAGCCAGTCAGATTAGACAGTCAGACAGATAATAGATAGACATAAAGACAAACTGAAAGATGCAGGTATACACACAAGTTATATACTTTATGCATGGATAAATGGCTGAATGGACAGATGCAAAAGGTAGAAATATGTACAATTTACTGATGGATGGATGGATGGATGGATAAATGGGTGGATGGAGGTAGACAGATATACATTTTTGTATGGACTGGTGGATGGATGAATGGATAAAGGAATCAACAGATAAAGACAGACAGACCAACATAATTATTTTTAAACTACAACATACAAGATCAACGTAGAGACTGCCAGAGTCGGCCTTGAGCTCTGGGAAGGCACTGATGTCAGGATAAATGGCAGTCGGGACCGAAGATGCTGCAGATGCTGTCGATGAGGTCTGGCTTGTGCTTCCTGTCTTTCGTCTTCATTTTTTAAAATAAAAATGAAAGAAAAGCTAGTAGAAATTAAATAAATTTACTAATTTTTTTAATGTTTATGTGAGCTAACCGTGCGGCCTCAAACCCTCAGGTTCATAACCCCTGTCCTACAGCTTCAAATGGATATCAGGTAAAGTCACTGGAAGTAAACGCGGCCAGCCTGATGCTGACCATATCATCCACTGAGTGCTGATCGGTCTTTACAATGTAGGTCTAGCCCTATATGCCCAAAACACCTGACGGCGTGGTCTAAAAACATTTATCGGGGGGAGGTCTCTTTTCAACCCATCCAGCAACGACGCTAGATTCACATATTTATGTGATAATATTTATTTTATCACATTTTATGATGATGGTGATGAAAATGTTTATGACGATGGGGATAATAGTTACAATGACGATAATGGTGAAATAAATTATGGCGAAGGTGATGACAGTGAGTGATGTTCATGGTGACGGTGATGATAACTACAATGACGATAATGGTGAAAACACTAATAACAAAGATGATGACAATAATGGGATGTTTATGACAATGGTGATGATAACTACAATGGTGATAATGGTGAATTAAATGACGACGAAGGTGATGACAATGATGTGATGTTATCACAATGAATGTAATAATGGCAGTGATAATTACAATGATGATAATGGTGAAAACAATGACAGCAAAGGTGATGACAATTATAAGGTGCTGACGATGATGAGGGCATGTGCAGCATTCTTGTGTAAATATCATGTTTCTGTGACTACAAAATATTGGATACAGCAATAAAGACAATTTGATGAATAGTGGATACCTATATATATATATATATATATATATATATATATATATATATATATATATATATATATATATATATATATATATATATATATATATATATATATATATATATATATATATATATATATATATATATATGTGTGTGTGCGTGTGTGTGTGTTTGCATGCGTGCGTGCGTGTGTGTGTGTGTGTATAGTTTCATAATAAAAACAAAAACAAAAATGCTACAACAACAAACAACATCCGTATGAATACAATGTGCGTACAGACCGACAAATGTTCATGAACAAAAATAACTGCCAAGCAACTATAATCGATGCTAATATAAAATGCTTCTTGTATTTAACCAAGTAAAATGTTTACAACACTTCACAATAACAAATGACGAATAGAACCGCTTTGAGGCTCCCCTTAACATTTCACACACATACCCACTACATGACTAACCCGTTCTCATTGCATGAAGACAACTATAAGACCACTATGGTCAAACACGGAATATTTTCACATTTTTTAACTATCCAAAATCAAAAACTGTTTTCAGTACTTTTTGGCAAAGTAAAATAATACTCAAAATTTTAAAACTATAAATGGTGGTCCAAAGGAGGTTGTGTAGAAAAGCTCGCTTTCCTAGGAAATATGCCTGGCCAAATCAGAGGGAGATGAAACGAAGAGGAAACACCAAGAAAGAAAAGGAGAGAAAAGGAAAGAAAAACACAGCTAATAACAGAGTAGAGGACGAGCGGTCTGACTTGAAAGAAAGCATTAAGCCCAGAGACGGCGCAAATACTAGAATTTTAGTCTTTAAAGTGACGCAAATAACCCAGACCACAGATATAGGCGGAGACTGTTAGTAGCCTCCGCTAGCTAGCCGCAGTCTGAAAGTGGTGGTACTTTTAATTTTCTTCTTAAAAGGAATCATAATCGAATTACAACACAATGCAATGTTGGCAGTGTGCATACTCCCCCCCCCCCCACCCCAATAAAATGCCATTGTGCAATGTTTACATCTAAAGTTGCCAATATGCAATGTTTACAACAAAACAGTTGCAATGTAAAATGTTAACAGCAAACAGCTGACAGTGTGCAACAGATTTACATCAAAACGTTGCCACTGTGTAATGTAAACTTGTTCCTTCTTTTTACAATTTGAAGAATTCATCTTCTTCTTCTTCTTTTACAATTTGAAGAATTCATCTTCTTCCTAAGAGGTAACTAAGGAAGGCTGTCAAGAGAAGGTCTCTCCTATAGAAAACGTCCTACAAAATTCAGTCAATGATAAACAAGTCATCTGAGGACTGGACCTGATTTGGTCCATGCTTTATGGGGAATTCTCTTCTTCAGCGTGACTGTGAACTCTGGTGGAAAATCCTGGTTGTTTATCCATGTCAGGACTTTGGTCCTGTCCCAGACCACTAACATTTGTTTCTGTTTTTCAGAACTGGCTTATCTGTGTGCAGACTCGCCTCTCAGGCAGATGTATTCCGACTTTGAAAGAAATGTCAATCCCATCTATGTTTGTATGTTTGCCAGGCCCCTGATAGGAAACTCCCTTCTACTATGATCAAGGAGAGGTGTAGTCAGGTGTTAGCCAGTTTCAGTTCTGGTTCTCCATCAACACCTCCATGTGGTGATTCACACCTGCATCCTCAATGAGAGATGACAGGAAGAAAGAGACAACCACCACACAAATCATGAATATGTTCATAAAATTCCAGTTTCGCCAGAAACATGTGGACACAAAGTTTCCTTCTGAATGGGATACTATAAAGTGAGAACACACCGACATCGCATGGTTCGTGCTAATTAAGATGCATGTTCCTGTAGTGCATGAAATTAAACTCCAAAACATTTTTACAAGACTGCCAAGACTTTGTCAGTCAGGGACAAGAAATCAGGCCCTACAAGACTGCCAAGACTTTGTCAGTCAGGGACAAGAAATCGGGCCCACAGGAGCAACCCTACAAACAAACTATAGGGTACTGGTGAAGACAAGTGACCCATGCTGCTTGTTACCTATACTGGTATTGGGGCATAGCAAATGTTGATCACTGAAGAAGAAGACTTAGGTGCCGGTTGTCTACTAATATGAGAATGAGCCACTCCTACTAATATGAGAATGAGCCTCACCTGTTAATATGAGAATGAGCCTCTCCTACTGATATGTGAATGAACCTCTCCTACTAATATGAGAATAAGCTTCTCCTACTAATATGTGAATGAGTCTCTCCTGCTAATATGAGAATGAGCCTCTCCTGCTAATATGAGAATGAGCCTCTCCTACTAATATGAGAATGAGCCTCTCCTACTAATATGAGAATGAGCCTCTCCTGCTAATATGTGAATGAGCCTCTAATACTAATATGAGAATGATCCTCTCCTACTAATATGAGAATGAGCCTCTCCTACTAAAATGAGAATGAGCCTCTCCTGCTAATATGAGAATGAGCCTCTCCTACTGATATGAGAATGAGCCTCTCCTACTAATATGAGAATGAGCCTCTCCTACTGATATGAGAATGAGCCTCTCCTAATATGAGAATGAGCCCCTCCTGCAATCTAAAAACTTGCAGGTCAGTTTTACAACAATACAGATATGAGAAACACTTCAACAAGAAGCATTATAAGCAAACAACAACAAAAGCAAACTGCAACAAAACACACTTTTAAAATGGTAAAAGTCAGATGCAAATCTGATCCCACCATCTCATTATCATATACCATGCCGGTAAGCAAAGGCTGTCATGTTTCACCATCTTACATGATCACCAGAATCCCAGATCAGTTCAATGTTTTTGTCTTGCCCTATCCATCTGGCAAGGTTATCGAGGTATTTATCTCTTTGCCTTCCTCTTGCTCTTTTGTCCATCAATCTTGCCCGTTGTTACCCAGTTCTTGAGTCAATTATTTCTCAAAATACGTCCCAAAAAAAAAAAACAACAACAACACTGACTGTCGTCTAATTGTTCTGATAAGTTTACAACTTTCAACTATCTTAATGAGGTGAGGACTACTTTATTTGTTCTTCTATCCGTCCATGTTCTTCGCATTAGTCTTAAAAGAACCACATCTCTGCCCGAGTAAATAATTTTCAGCTTGTTTGCTTATTGTCCATATTTCACATGCACAAAATAACACAGGTTCTACATAGCACTGTAACACTCTTTTTTTCTCACTGCACCTGACATATTTAGATTTATTTGCATGCTATTTAATGCCACTTTTGCCATGATGATTCTTGTTCTAATTTCTGCACCAGATATTACGACAGTTCAAAAATAGCTGTATCAATTTTGCTTAAGAATTTTGTCATTTGCACATATTTCACGTTGGTATTTATTTCTTTCTGGTGATGATAATAATTACCTTTTTTTTTAACAATTTAATTCAAAGCCTAGTTTCTCACTGTGAACTATCACTGCATCTCCTAAACACTAAAGATCTTCTTCACTGCATCCACTAAACACTGAAGATCTTCTTCTCTGCATCCACTAAACACTGAAGATCTTCTTCACTGCATCCACTAAACGCTGAAGATCTTCTTCACTGCATCCACTAAACACTAAAGATATTCTTCACTGCATCCACTAAACACTGAAGATCTTCTTCTCTGCATCCACTAAACACTGAAGATCTTCTTCACTGCATCCACTAAACGCTGAAGATATTCTTCACTGCATCCACTAAACACTGAAGATCTTCACTGCATCCACTAAACACTGAAGATATTCTTCACTGCATCCACTAAACACTGAAGATCTTCTTCACTGCATCCACTAAACACTGAAGATCATCTTCACTGCATCCACTAAACACTGAAGATCTTCTTCACTGCATCCACTAAACACTAAAGATCTTCTTCACTGCATCCACTAAACACTGAAGATCTTCTTCACTGCATCCACTAAACACTGAAGATCTTCTTCACTGCATCCACTAAACACTGAAGATCTTCTTCACTGCATCCACTAAACACTGAAGATCTTCTTCACTGCATCCAAAAAACACTGAAGATCTTCTTCACTGCATCCACTAAACACTGAAGATCTTCTTCACTGCATCCAAAAAACACTGAAGATCTTCACTGCATCCACCAAACACTGAAGATCTTCTTCACTGCATCCACTAAACACTGAAGATCTTCTTTACTGCATCCACTAAATGCTGAAGATCTTCTTCACTGCATCCACTAAACAGTGAAGATCTTCACTGCATCCACTTAACGCTGAAGATCTTCTTTACTGTGTGCAATTAACACTGATCCAACCATACAGTGTGTTTGCTCAAAATATTTAGTCGGACTGATCAGAATATAGTGTTACATACAAGAGTTAACTGAGCTGATAAATTCTAGTGCACATAATGTGTTCACATACAACATTCAATTGATTCTAGTGCAAATGTTTAAACATATTCAAATGAGTTGGTGTATTCTATTTTGCATAATGCATTTACATACACTCAAATCAGCTGAAACATTATAGAACAAATGTTTACATACAACATTAAACTAAGCTGATAGATTCTAGTGCACATAATATGTTCACATACAACATTCAATTGATTCTAGTGCAAATGTTTAAATATAACATTCAAATAAGTTGGTATACTCTAGTGAGTATAATGCATTTACATACATTCAAATCAGCTGAAACATTATAGTACAAATGTTTACATACAACATTAAACTGAGCTGATAGATTCTAGTGCACATAATATGTTTATATAAACATTTTACATGCAACATTCAACTGATTTTTGATTTGATAATTACTAGTGGAAATGTTTAAAGATAACATTCAACTGAGTTGGTATGTTCTAGTGTGCATAATGTTTTACATACACTCAAATCTGAAACATTCTAGTGCACATGTTTACATGTAACACGAAAATGAACTGATGAATTCTAGTGTGCATAATGTGTTTACATAAACTCAAATCAGATCTGTCTGCTTCTTGAGAACATTAGGCGAGGAGAGGAGTGGGTCAAAGTGCCACCTGAACAGTCAGACTAGTGTAGTGTCACAATCACAGCAGGTGCCACAGAGGTGCAATTAATTCAAGATAATGCTCACTCAGAAGATTTGATTATTTACACAGATGATTCAGTGTCAAGAGGCAAAAGAAGTGCTTAGGATTTCTTAGCAAAAATTAAAGGTCGACGTTTGGTGCAGGAGAGCCTAGCATATGATACCACAACATCCAGCTTAAAAATTGAGGTGGAGGCGGTCACTGCAGCTTTCCGCTGATTAGAGAACATGACACACACACACACATTTTGATTGTAACTGACTCAGAAAGCATGCTGAGGAAGATCAGGACAGGCATGCTTCATGCAGAGTGGCATGCCTCGCTGCAGAGGACACGGGTGAGGAGTATTGACTGGATTTTTTCACCGTGAATGCCAGTGTGTTGGGAAATGAACAGGCGGACAGACTGGCTGGCTCTGCACAACTTGGTGGAATACTGATGCATTATAAGGCAGGTGTTGTTAGTGCCTTGTGGGAGAGTATGTACAGTTCGGAGGAGCAGAGGGATCAGCACAGTCGGATGAGATTGATGCAGGAGAGAGTGACGAGCGGTTCTGGCAGATGCTCAAGGCTCAGAGGAAAGGCAAGACGGACGTTTAATCAGAATGCTACTGGCACCATTAGTATCGGAACTCTTTGCTGGCTGCTAAAGATGGGGACAGAGCGCTCATGGGAATGCCTCAAGTGATGTGATGTTGGTTCTTAAATCAAATCAAATCTGCTGAAACATTCTAGTGCATATGTTTACATATAACATGAAAATGAACTGATGAATTCTAGTGCACATAATATTTTTTATATTAGACATTCAACTGAACTGATATATTTCAGTGCATAATATTCATACACAACATTCAACAGTTGGTGGATTCTAGTGGGCATCCATGTTCTTACCCAAATAACGATTTCCTTTTTTTAGACGTTGAACTGAAAAACAATGGTGCGTTATTCAATTAAAGTCAGTGACAACATAGAGGTCTATGATGAATAATAAAAAAGAATATCTTGTGAATAACAACAAAAGAAAGAATAACTTCCAAACAAAAGAAAGACTATATTCTGAATAAGAACAAAAATCAAGAATAACTTCCGAATAACAATAAAAGAAAGAATATCTTCTGAATGACAATAAGCAAACAGAAAGATTACTTGTGAAAACAGCAAGTCTACCTGATTAAGAACAAAGAAATGACTTCAAAGAAAAATCACTACAAAGAAATTAACAGGGATTAGAAGACAGTATGTCTAAATAATAGTGAATAAGAGTAAAATTAACACTGAACAGCAATCACTAGAAAGAAAATCAGTTCTCTTTAACAATCAAAAGAAAAAGTCAGTAAAAAGGACCCTTTTCCTTGCCTTCAGGTGAACTAGGCATAAAGGGCAAGAACTATATTTCAAAGACATATCGGCACTTAGTGGGTGATGTGGTCAGCATTGTACAGGCCACCTTCACTTCCCAGACCACCAGCTGGTGCACCCTCAAGGCCTTTGTTGACCTGGGAGCCAAAGAAGACCCATACCGCTGGGACCTGAACTCACAACCTTCCTGTCCATAAGTGAGCATTTGCCCACTACGCCACGGCGGCTCCTGAAGAAAAAGTAATTTCTTACTAATAATTAAAAGAAAAGTTACTTTCTCAATAATAATTAGAAGAAACATTACCTTCTCCATTACAATTAGAAAAAAAATGTTCTCAATAATAATAACCATATAAGCCTAGGAGAACAGATAAAACATCTGTCAACATTAAAAGTACATTTTAAAATCTTAAATAAAGATTAAATAAATCATGACTGATAAAAAAACTGCTTTGAATAAATTACGACTGCTAAGATAACTGACATGAGTGAATCATGATTTTCAAGAGCTGCTTTGAATAAATCAAGATCGACAAGAACTGTTTTGAATGACCATGACTGACAAGAACTGCTTTTAATAAATTATGATTGATAAGAGAACCGCTCTGAACACAAATCATGACAAATAAAATAACAAGCATGCAGACAGATTAGATGCTGCCACTCCTCTGGGAGGTAAGCTACTATATGATAAAGTGAATGTGATTAAAGCTTTATGGGATCAAATGGAACAGATCGGAATCCATACACTGAAAGACTAATTACATGGGCAGTGTGTGGAGGTTATAGGAAGATATTCAACACTCAAGGGGAAACAGAGAGCAGATTTTTAATCAAGTTGCACCTGGTACTTTTAGCATGTGATCTCTCCAATATGTACTGAAGAAAGGGATGGAGCACGTGTGGGAAAGTCGCGAGTGTAATGATGCCAGTTCTTGATGCATTCTTTCATTCATTAAATCCTGACTGACAAGAATTGATCTGGATAATTAATCATTAATAATAAAACTGATTTGAATAAATCATTATCAACAAGATCTGTTTTGCTTAAATTATGAACGATAAGAGAACTGTTCTGAGTATATCAAGACTTATAAGAGAAATGTACACTCCAAACACTGCAAATGTGTATGCACATGAAAGTGAAACAGGCTTTCTATACAGTGTACTCACTCTGATCTCTCTAGCTTATCCAGTACAACAGATGATGACATCTCATGATCTGTACATTCTGTGGAATACAATTAGTCAGTTTACCTAGTTGAGTGACACAGTTAGTTGCTTACCCTTTACAGCACATTGAAGACCAACACCAGCATTTTTTGCCTGTTGTGGTTTTTCTAGGCAAATTTTATGTTCAGTAGTTTGACACTGCTTTTTAAAGGGTCATCTCTCGGTACCACTATCAAAAAACCAATGCTAGACAAATCGTCCGTAGCTGGGATCAAACTCCGCACTAAGAAGCGCATTCACAACGCCTAAGGGAGACGCACCACTTAAAAAACAGTAAAATGTCTATACAAGTTTCCTTCAGGACAGGAGACCATTTTTGACCACACCAGCCTGACCGTATGAAACGGTGATTTGCCAGATGAACTTTGAAGGCAAGATTTATCATCATCACCGCTATCATCATCATCATCATCACCACCACCACCACCATTACCACCACCACTATCACCACCCCATCATCACCATCACCATCATTGCCACCAAAACCAGCATCATTATCAACTAGTGTGACCAATCAAGTTAATGAACCTTGCTTTCTCCAAAAGTTTGTTTTCTTAAAAAGCAAGAGTAAATGCTCCTTTCCAGGCACATGGTGCTAGACTCACATCTTTACAGACCAAGTGGTGTTCACAGGGTGATGTGGTCTGCCGCCTTTAGCTTCTGGACACATCCTGGAACCCATTTTAGGCTGGGTCAACCTGGGAGTTCTAGGTGAACTGAGACAGCAGAGGGTCTATGCATCAACTGGGGTTAAAGGGCTGAAGATAGGACAGCCTGACATTAGTTAGTAGACAGCCGATGCTGTGTTTGTGGATGAAAGGTAAAAGACAGTACAGAAAGCTAGGGTTGGTTGGGAGCTAAGCTCCATTAGTGGATAATGAACATGCAGACAGATTGGCTGGATCTGCACCACTGGGTGGTGAACTGATGCATTACAAGGCAGATGTGGTCAAGGCCCTTTGGTAACAAGTAACGAAGTCGAAAGAGAAACTAGATTATTATGGCCTAGAGAGAATGAGGCACCTGAGAGTGATCAGAGGGTCTGGCTGGCTCACTACACTCAGAAGAAAGGCAAGACGGACATATAATATGACTGGTACCATTAGTATAGGAACTCTGCGCTGGCTGCTGCAGATGGAAACAGAGCGCATGTGGGAATGCCCCGAGCATTGTGATGTCAATCCTTGACTCAACTCAACTGGTGGATAAAAGGTAGAAGAAGACAGGACAGCGAGGTAGGGATGGTTGAGAGCTATGCTCCAATGGTATCTTATGGGCAGAAGAAGAAAAGACATGCGTGTGAGAGTTGGCTGAAGACCTATGCTCCAATGAGAAATAAAGGGTAAAGGAAGAAAGGACAGTCTGATCTAGTTGGTTGAGAGCCTATGCTCCAATGGAGGACAAACAGCAGAAGAAGCCAGTAGTACAAATTATATAATGTTAGTCACTAATTCAAGACAACGCTTTTACTGTGCAAATACTCACCTGTTTTTCCAGCTGGTGTAGGACCTGAATCACAACTATCTTGACTGTTTCCTCCCAGAGTGAGTACATCTTTTGACCTGCAGAAAAACACAGATTAAAATAACCTTGCTATTTCTTCTCCTTCTTCTTCTGATTCTTTTTCTTCTTCTTCTGCTTCTTATTCTTCTTCTTTCTGGGTTGTTGTTTTTTTTTCAATTCTTTTTTTCTTCTTTCTGTTTCTTCTGATTCTTTTTCTTCTTCTTTCTCTTTCGTGTTCTTATTACTTTTCTTCTACTTCAGTTTCTTATTCTGATACCTTTTTTCCTCTTCTTTTTTTCCTTCTGATTCTTGTTTTTTCTTATGATTCGTTTTTGTTCTTCTTCTGATTCTTCTTCTTCTCATTTGGCTTCTTCTTTTTCTTCTTCTTCTTTTGATTTCTTTTTCTTCTTCTGATTTTGTCTTTTTATTGTTGTTTTGTTTGTTCAGTTTCTTACACTGATTTTTTTTCTTCTCAAGTTGATCTCCTTCTGGTTCTTTTTTTTGTGTTTTTCAGAATCAATTTTTTTCTTTTAAAGAAGTCCCGAAATTACTCGAAGAGCCAAAAAGAGAAACCCAGATGTTTGAAAGAGGCCAGGGTTCAAAGATAACTTATCACAAACATCAGTTAGAGACAGTCATTATTTTCTGTTAATATTATATATATTAAGGAAACTGGAAAAATCTGTGGAAAAAGAGAGACAGAAAAACACAAGATGATTCCTGACAATCTTTTGTCATGGCATGGAGGGGTACCAGCACACTAAGTGATACATGCTGTTGAAGATAACAGACTGTGCAGAAGCACAGAAGGCACTTGATGATGATGAGGATTCAAACCTAAGACCATGAGCCTGCAGTTATGTGACTTACTTATTGTCAGTCATGCGACCAGAACTTTTGCCAGTTGGAGACACAGGCATGGCTATCTCCTGTGGGTTCCCCAATGATGCCTTGCTGGAAGTGGAAGCATTTCTTGGTGGAAGAGGTGGAGAGTGTGCCTGCGGCTGACTCGGCACTTTCGTTGTTCTTGGTGGCAAGGGAGGCGGGGAATGCAAGCCAGACACAGACACTGAAATCTGCATTTGATTGGCAGCCAGCCCGGAGTCATCCGCTGCTGCGGAGGATGCTGCTGTAGACAGACTGCTGAGAGCAGCAGTTTCACGGACCAGGCGGCCGCTGCTGCGCTCACTGCTGGTGCGAGAAAATGTCTCGGGATGGTCGCTGTCAGCTTCCTCTGTGTCATCTACTGTATCCACTTCAGATTCTGTACCTGCCGACACACCTGTGGGTGATAAATGAGAAAGTTTTACGCAGGTACAGACTGGTCCCTGTTGACATCGAATTAAGTTTTACCTCACAGTACTTATTCTTCTTCTTAGCGTTCACAGGCTGTAAACTCCATAGAAAAGTTCTTGTTGTTGACCGACCTCTGGACTTGAGTTTTATGTACACATCCCTGTTTCTTAGGCAGATGCACTCTGACGTCGAAGCTAACACCACTAGTTAGTCATCTTTTGTCTCACAATACAAGGCCTACCTTACAGTACAGTACAATAAGTTCTACCTCAATTTCTACCTCACAATACAATTAGTTCTACCTCACAATACAAGATGCTTCACCTCACAATATGATTAGTCCTACCTCAAGTTCTACCTCACAATACAATTAGTTCTACCTCACAATACAAGATGCTTCACCTCACAATACAATTAGTCCTACCTCAAGTTCTACCTCACAATACAATTAGTTCTACCTCACAATACAAGATGCTTCCCCTCACAATACCATTGCATGTCCTACCTCACAATACAAGATGCTTCCCCTCACAATACCATTGCATGTCCTACCTCACAATACAAGATGCTTCCCCTCACAATTCCATTGCATGTCCTACCTCACAATACAATAAGTCCAACCTCACAATAAAATAAGTTCTACCTCACAGTACAATAAGTTCAATCTTACAATAGAGTATGTTCTACTTCACAATACAATAAGTTCTCACTCATAATACAATAAGTTCTACCTCACAGTACAATAAGTTCAATCTTACAATAGAGTATGTTCTACTTCACAATACAATAAGTTCTCACTCATAATACAATAAGTTCTACCTCACAGTACAATAAGTTCAATCTCACAATAGAATATGTTCTACTTCACAATACAATAAGTTCTCACTCATAATACAATAAGTTCTACCTCACAATACAATCAGTCCTTCCTCAAAAAATAATAAGTTCTAACTCACAATACAGCAAGTTCTATCCCAAAGTACAATAAAAGACAAATCTCACAACACAATAAGGCACACAAAACAATACAAAATGTCCCACCTGAGTCAACAAAGGCTTTGTTCTTTTTACTCTTGGATCCGCTTTTATAAAACATCTTTTTTAGCTTGTGGGTGATAGTCTTGTTTTTGACAGCCTTGCCTGTGGGTTTGGAGAAGTTCTCCAGGTCCTCATACAGGCAAACATCCCCTTCAACAACATCAGGACTCATGTCTTCATACTCAGTCTCCGTACTGCTCGACTCTGCATTGTCAGAAAGTCCTCCATCAGACTGCGTCTTCAAAAAAAAATGAGAGAAAATGTATACTGATTTGTTGAAAATACATCCGTCAGACTGTGTCTTTAGAAGAAATGGGAAAGAAAGTAAATATAAATTAATACAAATTCAGAAAAATTTCAAACAGGAGTTAAATTTTCCTCTTTTTATAGTCTACTCCATGTGGTGTTGATAGTCATGTCAGCTCACAGCCTTTTGTCTCAATTAAGATGAACAAAAGTTTGGTCTGAGCAGGGATCTAATAATTTGAGTCCCTGATTAGCACAAATTGTTTTAACATGAATTCTTGATTTCTCAGTTCCTTGAAATTCATGTTAACTAGGTTATACTGTATTTACAGGAAATATATCCATTAGACTGTGTCTTTAAAAGAAATAGAGTAACATGTACATGATGTGAAATCAGCAACTTGTGTCCCAATGCCATGAAATATATACTGTTATGAGACTATGATGATGAGTGATACCTAAGAACTAAGTGGCAAGACAAGATCACAAACACTGAGACATTGGAATGAGCAGATATTACAAGTTTTCTCAATGCTCAGTCTGTGAAGGCTCAGGTGGCTGAGTAATACCTAAAGAATCGAGGATGGTAGAGTACTAAGGTCATCCTTTATAATAGTGAAATCGTTAGTTGCGTATCCTTTACAGGACGTTGCAGAACCAACCCCAACAGCCCCTGGCTGTTGTGTGGTTTCTCTAGGCAAGTTACATCCAGTAGTTTGCCACTGCTTTCTGGACGGTCGGCTTTCTTGATACCACTGTCGAAACCAACGAAAGGCGCATTGCCCGCAGCTGGGACCGAACCTGGCATCCTGCCATTACGAAGCGAAGCGTTCTTATAGTGAAATACAGATGGATAAAAGATCCTAAGGCTGACTTCTACTAGGAAATAAAGATGTGTTCAAGTGGGACATGAATGATACAGAAATTCAGGTAGATTCGTGGGAACTAAATGCCATGGACCATGTTGCATAGAGGAGGCAGAAAGGATAAGATGTAAGCATCTGAGAAGAAACATGCTAATTACAAATGTTGACAACAATGTTCTGAAATCCCATGCTATAATTATGGAAGACTTTACTTGAAGCAGGCAGGTCTTGCTAGTCACACTCGCCATTACCATGGGTTGTGAGTCCCATGCCTCCTTACAGCACAACAGAACACTATTATCTGGTAAGGTACCAACAACAAGATGATGATAACACCCTTAAAAAAGAATTGAAACAATGAGACTTACTGTCCTCTCATCGCTGTCACTGACTGTCTCTGATGTTGAGCATCTGTTCTTTTCTGACTTCTTTTTACTGCCTCGTTGTTTTCTGTAGGTTACAACAAGAAGGACAACTACTATCATCTAGAATGTGTTAGGACTTTTAACACACCAAACACAATCTATGTGAAATTTTATCAACATAGCAATGACACAGCTTTCCTCAAAATAACAACAGCACAACTTTTCATAGAATATCTGCACAATTTCCTCCAAAATACCAACAACACAATTTTCCACACAAAAAACAATGGAACAACTTTCCCCAGAGTAAATTACAGCATATCTTTCCCCAAATTACCAACAGCTCAAAAATAACAGCAGCAAACTTGCCCCAAAAAAAACAACAGCGCAAATCCCCCCCCCCCCCCCTCACCTCCCAAAGAGCAGTAAAGCCTTCCCCAAAATATCAGCAACACAACTCACCATCCCCCCCCCCCCCCCATATCAACAACACAGCTTTCTTCAAAATACCACCATCACAGCTTTCCTCCCAAAAACTCCAGCACAATTTGCAATTTGTAAAATATCCTAGCCAAAGCTTTAGAATAATTATTAATTTCTAGTTCTTTCTAATTTGCTTGTTCACATTCTAATATCTGCTGCCATTCAGCAGAGCAGGTTAAATATTTCACGTATGTAAGTATGCACAGGTATATGGCCGGATGTATGCATCCATGAAATAAAGTTCCCCATGTAGGTTCAGGAACACTAGTATGGAGATTGTGGGGTGGGGTGGGAGGGAAGGGGGACGACAAACTGACCCCCCCAAAAAGCATGATGTAAGAGGAAACTAATTAGGGGTTTTCCCGTCGAAGTTAAAGTGCATCTGCCTAGGAAGCGCCCACTTTTATGTGAAAGTCTTCTTCATTCGTCCTTGAGAGGGTGGTTGGCACATTGTGATTTACAGCGAGGCTTTGATATCTGAGTATTTATTTAACGGCATGCGGGCAGTGGATCTATTCTCCCCCGTCCCAATAAAATGGGGTCCAGAACCCACACATGGAGATGAGTATTTAAACCCAAGACCATTGGACTGGCAGGCAAACCTCCAGCAATTAAACCATCACAGCTCCTTGAGGCCACAGGTAAGTAGCACAATATTATCAAAAGCATGCAGTTGCTATTATTATGTGATCCTATAAGAAGATAAGATGCTGTTGAGAGCTGCAAGATGCTGTTGGGAGCTGCAAGATGCTGTTGGGAGCTGCAAGATGCTGTTGGGAGCTGCAAGATGCTGTTGGGAGCTGCAAGATGCTGAGAAGCAGGGCACTTAATGTTGATGGCAAAAACAGTATTAGACGAAGGTTTCTGATAATCACACAGTTTATTATGGTTATGTCATGACCTAGTACATGTGAAGGCCTAACACTCCATACCCCTATGGCAGTGTCTGCTACAGGACTACTGTTACATTTCATAATGATCTCTTGCTGGCTTCGCTGAAGGAAAAAACAAAACAAAAGTTTTGATTGTGTTTAACCAGCTTTTGGTTGTAACTGCAGTTTGTACAATGCCAACCGCTTAGGCTATCTCGGATGCCGAGAATTTCTGTTATAAAAAATGTTTATCCCTGGCAATTTTTCTTGCTAACTCTCATCTGGATAAGAGGAATTTCTGATAAGAAGAATTTCTGATCAGAAGAACAATTTCTTTGGTCGCTGGTGAGTTCTCCATATCAGGTCTGCACTGTGCATAGTAATCATTTGTGATAAAGATGCTTCTTGAATTCATACTGGCCATTACTGTTCAGTATCTTCCATTTATCTATTTTCTATAAAAATTGTAATTTTTGACTTCACACTGGGAGCTTTTCGTCCATGCTTGTCGCGGTTTTCTGCACAAAAAAACCGCTGTCAGTCATAGAGTGATTTGCTTTCATTCCCAGTTAAGGACTGGTTACTACCAGGACAGATTTGATGGGGTACAACACTCTCACCGTCTCGCTGTCCCTCAGCTGCACTGCCTGAAGAATCTCTCCAACTTTCTATGTATCCACAGGTTAATCAAGTTAACTATTAAGAAGACCATTTTCCACGCCTTCAGGTGTATTGGGCACACAGGGCTAGAACTATATTTTATAGACCTATCAGCCCTCACTGGGTGATGGGGTCAACATCACCTCAGCCAACTTCACTTCCCAGGACTTTTCCTGTTACCAATTTAAGGTTGGGTCAACCTGGGGAGCCAAGGCAGCTAGTTTTTTTTTTTTATTTTTTTATTTGGCCCCCATCAAGATTTGAACTCACAACCTTCCATCTAGCCGCTACACCATGACAGCTCCCAAAGAGAATTATTTACTAGTATGATTTTTTTTAATGGAATTGCAATAAGAAATAGAGTATACTTTGGAAATACAGCAGACATTATATACTCCAACTATAAACTCTTTCTTAATTTGAAGTCAGAGTCCATCTGCCCGAAAGGTAAGGAATTGACAGTCTGCACGAAAAAAAAAGCCAGATCTGTAAAACATAAATGTAGATAAAACTCGTTCTAAAGCCAGACTAAAGTCCAGAAGCAGACAAACTGCCAGAATTTTCTGCTAGAGTTTACAGTCGGCAAAGGCACAGAAGAAGAAGCTCTCCATCTCTCTGCATATACCAATCTCTCTCTCTCTCTCTCTCTCTCTCTGTGTTTGTGTGTGTGTGTTTGTGCATGCGCGTGCGTGGGAATGAGTTTGTGCATAATGAACACAATATTATTCATATGAAAGAATGATTCACCAAAAAGCAAACAGACAATCTGTGTGGCCCTCAACGATCAGCAGAAAGGCAAAAAAAACATAAAATCAGACTGCATATGGCACCATCAGTAATAAAACTGCTGTCAGCTGAAGATGAGTGAGTGACGTTCAACCCCGCCAGAACTGCACAATGAGGAGACTGACACCCGGTGAAACAAAGTGCCACCATTAAGATGAGAATCATCTGGGCACAAGTCCCAGAAACTCTATTCAAACATCAGGTAATATTAGGCCCCCGACAATAGCCATAGTGGAGCTTTAAATTTGAAAACACAGCCTCCCATATGGGGGCGAAATTAAAATTTGTCTGCTGAAGATGGGGAAGGTAAGATTAGGGGAATGCCTCAATGTTGGTTCTTAACTCACTTCAATCTTCTTTTTCTTCTCTTCTGCACTTGCTATCTTTTTAAAGGGTTGTTGGCACTCTGTTTTGTGGTTTCCAGCAAAGCTGTGATATCTGAACCTTTTGGCCTAAGGCATCCAATTTCAGCAAACCCCTAATTAGCTGCTTTAACAACATGCTTGTTAGGACGACAGTGGATCTATTCTTTCTCCTCACCAAATCTGCAGCCCTATAAACCACGTGGGGATCTCCTGTATATGAAAACTACTATTTATGCTAAAGTCAGTTCTCTCTTTCAACTCCTTGTTCACATGCCATGATTTCATACCATAAACTTTTGCGGTGTAAGCAGAGTGTCTTGGAGCCTGAGTATTTAGGCCGCATGGCTAACGCTGTCACCACAGACTGTGCATGTGAAAATTTTATCAGCTCCCCCCCCGAAAGAATAAAAATCCCCAACCTAATCAATGATTCCAACCCAGATCTCCCAATGAAAGCTCAGGGTTCTAACTGTTCGGCTAGCCGCTACTCCATCATACCATAAAACAATGGAAAATCTGGGTAACAACTAAAATAGTTACTAATAAACTACAAACATTAATTTACCAGTCCTTGCAGAGAACAAACTGAATTAAATGATATGACTGAATCACTAATGTAAAGCTTTGGCTTGTAACTAAATAAATTCCAGCAAATGAAGAGGTGAAGAAAAGACGCTGGCATTGGATAGGACACATACTGAAAACTCATGAGAATAATATAGCTGGAAGGGCTTTACACTGCAAGCCACAGGGGTATAGAAATATAGAAATAAAGCCAGACCAAAAAACCCATTGAGAAGGGAACTAAAGAGTGACGGCAAAACAGACAGGGAGTACATGCAGAGTGCTGAACATTATAGCAAAAAAAAAACTTGTCTTGGCTTGGCTGAGGGTCTGTGCTAATGGGTGATAAATGGCAGAAGATTAAGAAATTAGTTGAGGCCGTAAATATTCACATCTACATCTCAACCGATGCCTCTTCAAAACTTGATGTTGAAAGGCAGAATAGTAGTAGAGACAAAGAAAAACTTCTTCTACTTATTCTCTTTCACCTTGTACCTCAGGAAAGTGTCGGGGGGAGATGTTACATTTTTTGTTGAGCTCTGTCAAGAGCACTATTAAGACTGATGTTCATTTCTGTAAGGCTGTTCCTAATGCCATCACTCCCTATTTCTGAGGTCTTCCACTCGCTCTATACCTGTTGTAATGTTTTAGTGTGGCTCGCTGTGGCAGATAGTACCAGGGCATTCTTGTTAGGTGTCCAAACCAATTTATTTGTTGTTCTTTGATGACTTGTAAGATTGGCTTTATTCCTAGCATTCGTCCGATTTCGTGATTTCATTTCCTTGAAACTCCTGCAGCTCTTCTAAGGCATTTCCTCTCTGCTGTCACAATTTTACATTCAGTGGAAGATATAAGTGTCCATATCTGGCACTGATAGCATAGTGTTGGCCAGAAAATAGTTCTGATAAGATTCACTTTAGTACTCCTGTGTATCTTCTTGTGTGTCAACAGGGAAGATAGTTGCTCCATTACTTGATCGGCTTAGTCACATCTCGAGCTAATTTCTCTGTCCAGTTTTCCGTTGGATGTGAAAAGAAGAAAAACTGATAAAAACAAATGCAAACAAGCAAAAGTAACATTCCAATACACAGGTGCAAACAAAATAACCCAGTACCTGTTTCACTCATCAGGTCATTCTCTGTATGTTCAGAAAGGAAATATGCATCTCCATGCATTTTTGTGTGGGATTTTAGATGTTCATAACAAGAGCAAGCAGAATATAAACAGTTAACTCACAGTTTCCTAAAGGCATAATTTGTTAAATTTTTCATTTGGCTGTTAAGAACAGAAAAATGAAGCAAGTCAGGTTTACCCAAATGCTAGAGAAATGTAAAAAAAGAATGACTTAAGGATGTAAACAACTTTTTACACAAGGACAAGATAAATTATTGATGTATGTAATATTTCAACACATAGAAACATGGTTAATGATTGATGTAGGTAAAGATATTTCAACATACAGTAAGTGAATGATGTATGTAAAGGTATATTAACATACAGAAAATGGTAAACGAGTGACGTCTGTAAAGACATTTAAACATACAGGACATGGTGAACAATTGTGTAAAGTATTTTAACATTCATGACATGGTAGATGATTAATGAATGTAAATGTATTTTAACATATAGGACATGGTAAACGACAGATGTATGTAAAGGTATTTTAACATACGGGATAAGGTAAACCCCTGATGTAAGCACAGGTACTTTAACATACAGGACACGGTTAATCATTGGTTAAACACACATAATTTAACCACCTTTACCGGCACACATGATTAACTTTCGACAGGTAATACAGCACCTACCTGTATACACCTAGCCTCCTGGTTGGTGCCTTAGCAGGATCTTCTTCAGGTTCCCCATCAGCAGAAGAAGCTGCAAAAAAAGAAAAATGGTAAAAGTGAATAGTAGAAATGTGCAAATATCGTTATCACTAACAACCAAAATAAAGAGCAAACTACTTGGCCTTTTTGCCCCATGTGAGTTCCGGTGCCCGACTGGAGTGGAGGGTGGGGGGACATACAAATCAATACTCAACAAGCATGCCATAAAAGATAACTAACTTAGGATTAACTTAAATCTGGTGTGCTAGGTCAAAAGGCGCCAAAAATTGCAGCCTAGCTGTGATCCAAGCCCTCAAGTGTGGTCAACCTCCTCACCTGAGATCTGAACTTAGCAAAGGTGGCTGCCCAAAAAGCGTGGGGTGCCATCCCACTGTGGTATACCAGAAAACGAAACCGCGGATAAAACTGCTAAGAAAAGGACAGAATGTGAACAGGAAGAAAATGCATTAACATATTTTGAGAAGAAAATGGTCACCAGGTCTACCTGAAGTGGTCTGTCTACCTGAATCTGGTCAGAGATGGATACCAGGTATGAGTACCAGGTAACAGTCTTGAGAAGTAAATGCGGCCGGTGTGATGCTGAACACATCACCCATCAATTGCCGACTGGTCAATAAATATAGGTCTAGCCCATGGCCAATTAGCTGGCGAACAGCGAGCAAAATCTGGACTGCAGAGGCCTAGCAATTGCATTGTATAAATGATCTTTCTATGCTCGAGCCTCTAGCCCGCGACGATCCCCAATTTTCAACATTTTAGCCCCTGAATAAACTCAGCTGAATGGCCTTGGTCTAGCCATATATGCCTGAAGGAATGGAAAAGGGTCCTTTACTTTTACTGAAAGATTTACGGTCGAGAGCAGAAGAAGAAGAGTATAAGGTCTGATCACAGAGTTCAATTAAAATCGAACCTCAAGAATCACAAAATTATTGATTACAGCCTTTCTATCGCTAATCCAAACCAGACGCTGGCGCACGTGCTTGCAAGTAACAAGTAAACACAACCCGCCTCTGCTTTATGCCTACTGTCGAGTTATCACGTCTGGCAATCGCAGCTCGCCAAATGTGGACTGGGCTCCTTCGTTCTCAATGTGCTTGCAATTGCACTCCTATGAATGTCTCTTAATGTCTGGCGTATGAATGTCTAAACTCTGAATGCATAAATTATGAATGCCTGACATCTGAACGCCTTTTAACTCTGAATACTGATTATCTGGCCGAATATATCCTGACTTTTGGATATCGTATCTCTGAACTCTAAATTCTGAATGCCTAAAATCAGATTGTCTGAACTTTGAAATCTGAACTCTGGTTGCCTAAATTATGAATGATGGTCTGAATTCTGAATGCATAACTGAATGCCCAAACTCTGAATTCTAAATACATGTATGCCCTGCCTATAAAAACCTAAACCTCTTAATGTGTGAACACAAAATTATGTGCCTGAAGAAGAAGAAGAAGAAGAAGAAGAAGAAGAAGAAGAAGAAGAAGAAGAAGAAGAAGAAGAAGAAGAAGAAGAAGAAGAAGAAGAAGAAGAAGAAGAAAAAGAGGAAGAAGAAGAAGAAGAAGAAGAGGAAGAAGAAGAAGAAGAAGAAGAAGAAGAAGAAGAAGAAGAAGAAGAAGAAGAAGAAGAAGAAGAAGAAGAAGAAGAAGAAGAAGAAGAAGAAGAAGGAGTCGAAGAAGAAGAAGAAGAAGAAGAAGAGGAAGAAGAAGAAGAAGAAGAAGAAGAAGAAGAAGAAGAAGAAGAAGAAGAAGAAGAAGAAGAAGAACGAACGAACGAACGAACGAACGAACGAACGAACGAACGGGCGAACTTTTTTTCTCAAAGGGTTACAAATTAGCCACGCAGGCCTGTCTTATATTCGGCCCTTCCAAACTCTCATCTTTCACACAGAAGTTGTATCTCATCAATAGAGCATGTTATGTTCATGTAAAAATTTCCATATTATGAATATCAAGTCAAAAACAAAAGCATGGGTGGTAAAATATGTGCGCACGCTCGCGCGCGAACACACACACACACACACACACACACGCAAACCCATTCACTCACTTACACACATAGGCACCCAAAACACACCTACATCCACATATATACAAACACGCACACGCACGCGCGCGCACACACACACACACACACACACACACACACACACACACACACACACACACATACATACATACATACATACATACATACATACATACATACATACATACATACATACATACATACATACATACATACATCATACATACATACATACATACATACATACATACATACATACATACATACATACATACATACATACATACATACATACACACACACACACACACACACACACACACACACACATATACATACATACATACATACATACATACATACATACATACATACATACATACATACATACATACATACATACATACATACATCATACATACATACATACATACATACATACACACACACACACACACACACTCATACACACAGTCACACGCTCTAAAACATACTCGCATACAACCCAGATACATACAGACACAAACAGATATACACACAAACACATACATACACACACGTAGCCGGACAAAAAGACCCATTCAAACATACACACCGACGCACACAAACGTAAACCCACACAGACACACACACACGCGCGCATACATACAAGTAGCCGCACAAAAAGACCCATACAAACACACATACACCGGCGCGCACAGACATAAACCCACACAGACACATACACATGCAATCACAGGCACACACACAAACACATACACACACGCAGGCAGGGAAACACATAGACACACACATAGACATACTCAACACTCACACATACTCACAGACACACACAGACATACACGCAAACGCTTAAACCGACACAAACAGAGACACAAAGACATATAATAGACACACCGATAGAGACACACAAAGATACACACAAAGCCACACACACGGACACTCACAGTCACGGACAGATACAGATTCACACAGAGACACATACACACATACGTACATACATACATACATACAAATACACTCACAGATACACAAACACTCACACAGACACATGCGCAGGCGCACACACATTATCAAAAAGACACACACACAGATACCCACGAAGAAAAACATACAGAGACACGCGCAGACATTAAATAATAGACATACCCATATAGACTAACACAGATACACACAAAGCCACACATACAGACACGCACAGCCACAGACAGACCCAGATACACATGCAGCCACACACACAGACACACCTACAGACACATATTGGCACACACACACACACACTACACACATAGACACACACACAGAGACATACACACACACAGACGCATAAATACTCGCATAGACATCCACACAGAGACGCACACACATTATCTAAAAGACGAACACACTAATACACACGAAGCAACACACAGAGAAACACACAGCCACAGACACACACACACACCTACAGACACATAATGGCACACACACACTACACACACACACACAGAGACATACACACACACAGACGCATAAATACTCGCATAGACATCCACACAGAGACGCACACACATTATCTAAAAGACGAACACACTAATACACACGAAGCAACACACAGAGAAACACACAGCCACAGACACACACGCAGAATCACCTACAGACCCAACATAGATACACACACACACACACAGACAAACACGCAGCCACACACATAGACACACCCACGGAAACACACGCAGCCACACATACAGATACACATACACACACCCACAGACAAACAACACAGACTGACACGCACACAAACAGACACAGACACGATTACAAAAGAAGAAGAAGAAGAAGAAGAAGAAGAAGAAGAAGAAGAAGAAGAAGAAGAAGAAGAAGAAGAAGAAGAAGATACACACACACACAGTAGGAGGAAAAGAAGAGGAGGAGTAGGAGGAAAAAGAAGAGAAGTAGGAGGAAAAAAAGAAGAGGAGTAGGAGGAAGAAGAGGCAGGAGGAGGGGGGAAGGGCTTATGAAAGCTTAGATTTAAGCCTAGAGAAGATCAGAATATGGTATCCAAATTCTAGTCATGGAGAAGCCGGAGAATACCTGTCATCCTAGCTTTCGGAGATCTCTTAAGAGTCGCAGGAAATGACTAACCCACACAGGACCATCCTTTCTGTACTAGCTTAATGTTGCGTCAAATCAACTGAGGAGACGAGGACGCCCAAGAGAAAGCAAACCCCTAAGACGAATATCGATGAGAGAGGATAAAGGTTTCGGACCAGATTTCATTCATCATACTGAAAGAATTACAAAGGACAGAACGAATTGGAGGGTTATGTTGCCAGTCCTATTATACATATAAACGACATCAGGACGACGATGATAATAATAATTAGGATGACGATAACGTTCAATGTCAACTGATTCTTTCAGGAAATGCGTACGAACGCAGGTGTGTGTGTACCAGCTTTCTTCTGGTCGCTGCCACGGGCTGCATCCAGGGCTGCCAATGGGATTTTTTTGAAAAACCTAAGCGGAACCAAACAATACATAGGCAAAGAACAAACCTCCCCCTCCCCACCCCCCCCCTCCCCGACTGTTAAAAAGTACAAATTTTATAGTTACGAAACGAAACATTCACCCAAGTTTACATAAGGATATATTTAAACTCCCCCCCCCCCTCCCCCTCCAGATTTGACCATTTCTACCCAAGGCGTTGAATAAAAACCAAGATCTGGAGGTAAAACCCATCACTGGCAGCCCTGGCTGCATCAGAAACTACACAGCTGTCACAATCCCAACGAGGCCATCACACTCGACACCAAAAACACGCACACAGTACCACACAAACACATTCACATGAGAGAGGAGAATAGCCGGAAGCGGTGCCTGAGATTGGAATCGTAGCCGGCAAGTTGTAGCCGAGAAGGGAAGGACGTGGGAGCATATCTGTTGCTGAATTACCGGCACTGCCTAACAGAACCGGCATGAATGGAAGCATTAACTGCATCACACGAGCGCGCCGTTAAT